TGTAGGGAGGTCATACAGGCACGTGGAGGCCACACACACTACTGAGCCTCATTTTGACTTGTTTTAAGGACATTACATCAAAGTTGGATCAGCCTGTAGTGTGGTTTTCCACTTTAATTTTGAGGGTGACTCCAAATCCAGGCCTCCATGGGTTGATACATTTGATTTCCATTGATAATGTTTGTGTGATTTTGTTGTCAGCACATTCAACTATGTAAAGAAGAAAGTATTTAATAAGATTATTTCATTCATTCAGATCTAGGATGTGTTATTTTAGTGTTCCCTTTATTTTTTTGAGCAGTGTGTATATATATATATATATATATATATATATATATATATATAGTGAGGGAAAGAAGTATTTAGTCAGCCACCAATTGTGCAAGTTCTCCCACTTAAAAAGATGAGAGGCCTGTAATTTTCATCATAGGTACACGTCAACTATGACAGACAAAATGAGAAACAAAAATCCAGAAAATCACATTGTAGGATTTTTTTATGAATTTATTTGCAAATTATGGTGGAAAATAAGTATTTGGTCAATAACAAAAGTTTCTCAATACTTTTATATACCCTTTGTTGGCAATGACACAGGTCAAACGTTTTCTGTCAAACGTTTCTACATTTCTCCATGCAGATCTCCTCTAGAGCAGTGATGTTTTGGGGCTGTCGCTGGGCAACACAGACTTTCAACTCCCTCCAAAGATTTTCTATGGGGTTGAGATCTGGAGACTGGCTAGGCCACTCCAGGACCTTGAAATGCTTCTTACGAAGCCACTCCTTCGTTGCCCGGGCGGTGTGTTTGGGATCATTGTCATGCTGAAAGACCCAGCCACGTTTCATCTTCAATGCCCTTGCTGATGGAAGGAGGTTTTCACTCAAAATCTCACGATACATGGCCCCATTCATTCTTTCCTTTACACGGATCAGTCGTCCTGGTCCCTTTGCAGAAAAACAGCCCCAAAGCATGATGTTTCCACCCCCATGCTTCACAGTAGGTATGGTGTTCTTTGGATACAACTCAGCATTCTTTGTCCTCCAAACACGACGAGTTTAGTTTTTACCAAAAAGTTCTATTTTGGTTTCATCTGACCATATGACATTCTCCCAATCCTCTTCTGGATCATCCAAATGCACTCTAGCAAACTTCAGACGGGCCTGGACATGTACTGGCTTAAGCAGGGGGACACGTCTGGCACTGCAGGATTTGAGTCCCTGGCGGCGTAGTGTGTTACTGATGGTAGGCTTTGTTACTTTGGTCCCAGCTCTCTGCAGGTCATTCACTAGGTCCCCCCGTGTGGTTCTGGGATTTTTGCTCACCATTCTTGTGATCATTTTGACCCCACGGGGTGAGATCTTGCGTGGAGACCCAGATCGAGGGAGATTATCAGTGGTCTTGTATGTCTTCCATTTCCTAATAATTGCTCCCACAGTTGATTTCTTCAAACCAAGCTGCTTACCTATTGCAGATTCAGTCTTCCCAGCCTGGTGCAGGTCTACAATTTTGTTTCTGGTGTCCTTTGACAGCTCTTTGGTCTTGGCCATAGTGGTGTTTGGAGTGTGAATGTTTGAGGTTGTGGACAGGTGTCTTTTATACTGATAACAAGTTCAAACAGGTGCCATTAATACAGGTAACGAGTGGATGACAGAGGAGCCTCTTAAAGAAGAAGTTACAGGTCTGTGAGAGCCAGAAATCTTGCTTGTTTGTAGGTGACCAAATACTTATTTTCCACCATAATTTGCAAATAAATTCATAAAAAATCCTACAATGTGATTTTCTGGAGAAAAAAAATCTCATTTTGTCTGTCATAGTTGACGTGTACCTATGATGAAAATTACAGGCCTCTCTCATCTTTGTAAGTGGGAGAACTTGCACAATTGATGGCTGACTAAATACTTTTTTTCCCCACTGTATCCCCAAAAAATAAAATAAAATATAGAATTTAGCCTTTCCTACTACAGCCCGTAGAAATGCATTGAATAACACATACAGAATTGGCAAAACACAGTCGAAAAATATATAATCATAAGGAATAAGGTTGAAGTGTCTGTGCTATATATCTAGGAGATGTAAGAAAGCTCAGGAAATATATATATTTTTTTTTTGTACACATATTTAACCTCTTTTTTGGGGGGGGGGGGGACAAAACTACCTCCATACTTCCATATTTTTTTTTTACCAGTACTGGGTTACCTTCAGACAAGTCCCGTGACATTTGTAGGTCATAGAGAAAAACGGAGAACACCATCATGTTCGTGAGAGTCATCATTCCATAGAGCATAGATATTGGTGGCACCATAATTGGGGAGAACGGGCTCATGGTAATGACTGGAGCGGAATCAGTGGAATGGTATCAAATACATCAAACACATGGTTTCCAGGTGTTTGATGCCATTCCATTTGCGCCATTCCGACCATTATTATGAGCCGTTCTCCCCTCAGCAGCCTCCTGTGCCATAGAGTGGTTATATTAGTTAGTAGGCCAAACCGTTCAGACGTGTCGTGGATAATTATCACTATACTTCTTAAAAATCAAAAGTTCTTCCAGAGTTTTTGTAGAATGAAAATATACTTTTATTACACGAAGCAACGAAAGCCAAGATGATCTGCAGAACATCTGTTTTCCCTGATTCGTGCGCTCCTTTTATACAGACACAAAAGCATAGTCATGCTTATACAACCTACACAGTTATGTACATGATTAACATCCTTCGGTGTCACATGTTGTTTACTCACAAGGGCTATGTGCGCTTCTCTAATTGGGGCCTCTGTCACTTATCTCATTATAATGGTGGCGTGACTCAAATAATTATATACATACGTATGTTAAAGAACAATCACACTCTGTATTGACTATATTCACTATCCAGGCATGCATCTGGAGTACAAAGTATTAATCATGTTCATTCTGTTTTACCCTTATCATTTCATAACACATTATAAAACATGTCATGTCATGTCCATCACCCATTCTCAACCACATACATTTAAGCCTGTCCCAACAGCCATCGTCCATGGACCTTAAGCCACTATGGTTTTTCCTTGTGACTATGTGCATGTGACTATGTGTGTCAGGTCATAAGCACAAACAAGTGACAACACTAGTTCCATTGTTACTCCAATCTCCACACAGCTACAACGAGAAGCTTTATCTACATCACATTTCAATGACATACCCAGACCAGCTGCAGGGATTTAGTGGGAATCATCCATTATCAGAAGCACAGCGTTTGCACTAAAGAAATGTCTCTGCTCTGTTTTAACCCTTTAATTGGTTCTTAATCCAGAAGCATTTAAAGTATATAGGCATTTCATTCTACAACATATGTACTAGAAAATCATCCATAGACGCTACATACATTTTTGTGAGAAGACTGGTCTGACATATAGGACTGTAGCTCTGCCACTTTTGATGGGAAGTTTTTGCTTTATTTATTTATGTTAAATAAATTGCCTCATGGGAGCGTCAATAGACTCTTAAGGATTAAGTTAACTGATAAAATTACATTTACAATAAGAAACTACATTGAACAAAAATATAAATGCAACATGCAAAGTGTTGGTCCCATGTTTCATGAAATAAAAGATCCCAGAAATGTTCCAGACACACAAAAAGCTTATTTCTCAAAAAATCTATCTAAAATCCCTGTTAGTGAGCATTTCTCCTTTGCCAATGTGAGGGGAATTTTTTTTGTCTGAAGAGATAGCATTGAATTGTACACAGCATCTCCTCTCCCTCTATCTTGGTTCATGCAGGTGACTGTGACCTCCTCCTCAGACCAATTGGCAGTACGCCCAGAACATTGTTCTGGGAACCAAAAGGGAAATCTCAGTTTCAAGGTCTCAGCTTGGAGAGAAGAAATCTCGTGAGGTATTGGTAGGTCACATGCAGGAACCAAACGTTAATGATGAATTATGAATAATGTAAATCATGCAAATATAACTTGTCTGTGTAAGCAGTATATAAAATAACTAACGGGACTGCCCCAGCAGAGCTCCCAACTGACGTGTACTATGGTGCTTTAAGTTTGTTGGAACCTCTCCAGCTTGATAATAAAGAATGATGCATTTAATGTTGACTTCAGGTGTCGCTGGTGGTAATTTCCACGACACCAAGATAATCCATCCACCTGACAGGTGTGGCATATCAAAAAGCTGATTAAACAGCATGAACATTACACAGGTGCACCTTATGCTGGGGACAATAAAAGGCCACTCTAAAAAGTGCAGATTTGTCACACAACACAATGCCACAGATGTCTCAAGTTGAGGGAGCATGCATGTTTTAGAGAATTTGGTAGTACATCCAAACGGCCTCACAACTGCAGATTTCGTGTATAGCGTCATGTGGGCAATCAGTTTGCTGATGTCAACCTTGTTAACAGAGTGCCCCATGGTGCTGGTGGTGTTATGGTATAGGCAGGCATAAGCTGCGAACAATGAACACAATTGCATTTTATCAATGGCAATTTGAATGCACAGAGATACAGTGACGAGATCCTGAGGACCATTGTCGTGCCATTCATCCGCCGCCATCGCCTCATGTTTCAGCATGATAATGCACGGCCCCATGTCGCAAGAATCTGTACACAATTCCTGGAGGCTGAAAATGCCCAGTTCTTCCATGGCCTCCATACTCACCAGACATGTCACCCATTGAGCATGAATGGGATGCTCTGGATTGACGTGTACGACAGCGTGTTCCAGTTCCCGCCATTAACCAACAACTTCCACAGCCATTGAAGAGGAGTGGGACAACATTCTACAGGCCACAATCAATAGCCTGATCAACTCTATGCGAAGGAGATGTGTCGCGCTGCAAATGGTGGTCACAACAGAAACTGACTGGTTTTCTGATCCACACCCCTACCCTTTTTTTAAGGTATCTCTGACCAACAGATGCATATCTGTATTCCCAGTCATATGACATCCATAGATTAAGGCTTAATGAATTTATTTCAATTGACTGATTTCCTTACATGAACTGTAACGCAGTAAAATCTTTGAAATTGTTGCATTTATTGTATATTTCTGTTCAGTATACATATTTCTCATATTTGCCTTTGATCTGTTTCTTTAAATTCTGAAATCTAACAGGATAAATCAAGGTTCTTGAGAACTCAAATGAATCTGTTAACGGTCTTAAAATAAACTATTGAATTGCTGAACTATGGAATGCTATGTAAATGCTGTTATTGTATTATTGTCAAAACAAGACAATGTCTGTATATCTCATTTGACTGTTACATTGTAAAAAGTAGGCTTTGTTAGTATTGTTAAGAGTCAGGAATGCAATAGTGTGTGATACCCGAGTTCTTCCCATTCTCCTTAACATGCCACTGTATGTATAATTACATAGATGAATGCCCATGCTAATATTCAGTGTCCTCACGCCACATGGCATGTTACACGATGTAGGAGGTCAAGGGTCATATCTTGAGGAGCTGCTCAGCAGCTGCCAAGTGGAACAGGAAGTTCTCCGTAGCAGGCGGGAAGTGATGCTGCTTTAAGGTCTCGAGGGTGATTTTAGAGTTCTCACATTCCTCGGCTAATGACGTCAAGTTAGCAAGGATCTCCCTCGTCTTTATGGAAATGTCCTGAAAACATCATAGCAAACAGACAGCTTTTTTAATGATTGTTATTATAAGTATCCAAGTATTTAGCACAATGTATTACTTTTAATTTTTTACTGTATAAACACTGTACATCTTGTTTTTTACACTGTAAATCTTGTTTTTTACACTGAAAATCTTAGAAAATACATACCGCACACCTTCTCTGATCACAGAATAATTAATGGTAAGGATGTGTGCTTTCAACTCTCACCTTGATAACCTGCCCATCTGTTCTATCAGGATCCTCTGCAGACTGGACAATGACGAGCCCAATGTCTTTGTGCAGCTTTCCCATAGCCATGGCCTCTTTGGTGTATAGAGATAGATAGATACAGTAGATAGATAGATAGATGTCATATTGTTTAAGAAATTGTGGACGCTTGCATTGGGATAATGAGGGAGGACTAGGTAGCAAGGTTTCTCTTCCTTCAGTTACATTTTTTAGATACAGAGCATTCTTCACTTTGAACAGACTGTCTTTTACAGTAATAGGAAGGAGATTCGAATTGAGACACCCACCTTTGGCACTCTGGGATACGGTAATCTCACTATCTGGGAGGTTTACATACACATCAAACAAGTCCGATCTGTTGCTCACTTCTGGATCAACAAATCCTGCGACATATCCTGCAGAGACAGTGAGCATATGGGTGAATCAAATATTCATTTCTTCACCATAAGGCTTTTCAGGGACAGTGCAGATGGGGGTACTCACTGAACTCTAGGTTGAGAATCTTAGAGGAACATATTTTCAAAACAACAGACAAGTAAATACATTTACTGCAAGTCAATTATTGAATGAGTCTTCCTGTGTGTGTGTGTGTGTGTGTGTGTGTGTGTGTGTGTAGAACTGACTGTTGGGAGACAATGGGGATCCGTTCAATATCTGGGTTGTGTTCATTAGGACACGCAAAGGAAAACATTTAAAACATGTTGCAACAGAAAAGGAATGTATTCTATTGGACAGGTTAAGGAAGTCCCTCCCTGTTACAGTCCATGTTCTTCTCTTTGGTGTTTAATGAACACGACCCAAGTCTGAATCAGTTTGCTTTAATGTGGATCTAATGAACCAGACATCCTCACCAGTGCATGTCCTGAGATTCTCTAGCTCACTGTTAGTCAGGTGGACATAAGGGTACAGAATGGACCAGTCTTTCCGGTGCCATGTCAGAGCTGGAAGAGCTCTAGGAAGGAAAAATACAATCAAATCATACATTTGATATAATGATTATAATGTTCTCTCAAAAACATAAATTGTAATCCACTTCTACAATGAAGTCCATGAACAGTCAGAGGTCTGGGCCCAGTTTCCTAAAAGCATCTTAAGGAAAAGTTCATCGTTAGAACCTACGTAGGAGCATTGTTAAATCTCAGAGCTGTTTACCAAAACCACCGTTACTAAAGTTGCACTTGAAAAGGCTTGTTATTTAACGACTGCATCAGACCACTAGTAGAACAGCTAAGTGAGTCATTAGATGCTTTTTTGCCCTTCCGTGTCAAGATGTTTATCTGTCTTTCTGTAACCGCTGATTACTTCAGACCGATTGTGACTACAAATACAAAGTTGCCAATGTCTTTGCAACTGATACAAACAAGCGAAGGATATAAGATGCTTCAAATAAAAACCGAGATGACTGTACTAAAAGATAAATTCAGTATAGGCACTATTTATTTCAATGATATTTCTTGTTAATTCAATTGAGTTTTATTTAGCTATTTGTACGCTACTGTCTGTTATTTTTGCCTCAATCTACATCATGAGGGTTGCCTACATGTGCGCAATGATGTGTCAAATCTTAATTTAGTGCATATAGGATAAGCATTAGAATAAGCCGCCTCAATATTTGTAGAGATAGGTGATAATATCTCATAGGAGCTGATCTGTCATCAGTATTGTGGAATAATTCTAATGTTAAGGTAAGATTTGAAAGGGAGAACGCTGATCCGAGAGCAGCGGTGTTTCTTTCGATCCCATCACTTAGCGAACTCTCTATCTCTGCGCGGTGGTTGTGTTTTGGGAAACGCATGTTACATCTTCGGCCGCATTTTCTTCGGTGCATTTTCTCTATTGCCATAGTCACCTTGTGAACTCCAACAGTGCTTCAACCCGAGGGTGATGGACCACAACCCTCTTCTTTAGCATAAGGGCTGTGTACAGGATGATGGTCTCCATCCCAAACTGGGACACCACATCTGAAACCGTAATCACAAGATAGTCTACCTAATCCTGTTAAACAAATGGGATCAGCTTCTTCATGGACATGCTTCTTTGCATGCCAATAATGAAACTGGATAGTGTCAAGCACCTTGTATGAACAGTCATGTCCTTATACTGTAATAAGTGTTGTATATTTGTACATGTGTAACCTTTCACTGAGCCTGCTAAATACGCCTTCCTGACATCGTAGTCCTTGATGAGAAAGGAGCCATTCTCATCACTCTGGCAGATGCCTTTGGTGAGGACTGCAATGTAACCCTCCATCATTTTCACTGGGCTTCCATGTTTAATGTACATCCTGAATGATAAAATACACATGAAGAAATTAATGAAGAAATACATTTTTGGGAAGTATTAAATAAGCAGACATTTAGCCATGGGGATGCATTAGTGTAGTATGCTGTACCTGCATAGTACTCGACTGAATGCTGCATACTTCTCAGGGTTGAAGTCCTTTGCTGTGACAACTATTGAAAAATGTGTGACCTAAAAGGAGAGAAATACGAGCAATATAATTTACCTTCTCATTAGACCTACAAGTTACAATTATTTCAATGAATGAAGAATTTCAAAAGTAACTGTACCTTCTTTAGGGCGGTGGGTTCCTGCACCTCTACAGTGGATATGTAGTACCAGGTACGGCAGAACTGGCCGAACACAAAAGTGTGCAAACCATGGCTGTCCTGTCTGAGACAGCACTTACTGAGCAGGACCTCCCGAAACTCAGCACTGACTGAGGGATAGCACCACACCCACAAGGTGTCCGCATTCATGTCTTTCTCTGTGTGGGGAAGAACATGAGAATCCTGTGTCGTATTGCTTTCACAACTCATTATTATCAATATTACCAGATCTTTAATGAAATTGAACTGTTCTCATGCTTACAGGGAGTAAAATCAAAAGATGGTCAAATACTTCATCACATTGATATCACAGATAGAACAATGAGACATATTTCCCTGGATGTACAGTTGAAGTCGGAAGTTTACATACACCTTAGCCAAATACATTTTAACTCAGTTTTTCACAATTCCTGACATTTAATCCTAGTAAAAATTATCTGTCTTAGGTCAGTTAGGATCACCACTTTATATTAAGAATGTTAAATGTCAGAATAATAGTAAAGCGAATGATTTATTTCAGCTTGTATTTCTTTCATCACATTCCCAGTGGGTCAGAAGTGTACATACACTCAATTAGTATTTGGTAGCATTGCCTTTAAATTGTTTAACATGGGTCAAACGTTTTGGGTAGCCTTCCACAAGCTTCCCATAATAAGTTGGGTGAATTTTGGCCCATTCCTCCTGACAGAGCTGGTGTAACTGAGTCAGGTTTGTAGGCCTCCTTGCTCACACACGCTTTTTCAGTTCTGCCCACAAATGTTCTATAGGATTGAGGTGAGGGCTTTGTGATGGCCACTCCAATAGCTTGACTTTGTTGTCCTTAAGCCATTTTGCCACAACTTTGGAAGTATGCTTGGGGTCATTGTCCATTCCTCATGATGCCATCTATTTTGTGAAGTGCACCAGTCCCTCCTGCAGCAAAGCACCCCCACAGCATGATGCTGCCACCCCCGTGCTTCACAAAAAGTACGATCTTTGTCCCCATGTGCAGTTGCAAACCGTAGTCTGGCTTTTTTATGGCGGTTTTGGAGCAGTGGCTTCTTCCTTGCTGAGCGGCCTTTCAGGTTATGTCGATATAGGACTAATTTTACTGTGGATATAGATACTTTTGTACCTGTTTCCTCCAGCATCTTCACAAGGTCCTTTGCTGTTGTTCTGGGATTGATTTGCACTTTTCGCACCAAAGTACGTTCATCTCTAGGAGACAGAACGCGTCTCCTTCCTGAGCGGTATGACAGCTGCGTGGTCCCATGGTGTTTATACTTGCGTATTATTGTTTGTACAAATGAACATGGTACCTTCAGGCGTTTGGAAATTGCTCCCAAGGATGAACCAGACTTGTGGAGGTCTACAATTAGTTTTCTGAGGTCTTGGCTGATTTCTTTTGATTTTCCCATGATGTCAAGCAAAGAGGCACAGAGTTTGAAGGTAGGCCTTGAAATATATCCACAGGTACACCTCCAATTGACTCAAATGATGTAAATTAACCTATCAGAAGCTTCTAAAGCCATGACATCATTTTCTGGAATTTTCCAAGCTGTTTAAAAGCACAGTCAACTTAGTGTATGTAAACTTCTGACCCACTGGAATTGTGATACCGTGAATTATAAGTGAAATAATCTGTCTGTAAACAATTGTTGGAAAAATTACTTATGTTATGCACAAAGTAGCTGTCATGCACAAAGTAGATGTTCTAACCGACTTGCCAAAACTATAGTTTTTTAACAAGAAATGTGTGGAGTGGTTAAAAAAAGAGTTTTAAATGACTCCAACCTAAGTGTATGTAAACTTCCGACTTCAACTGTATAAATGTGAAGCATCTGGTTGGCGTTTCCTATCACTACCAAATATGGTGATGAGAGGAAGCCCAGTGGCCGGCATTGGGAGAAGATAGAGTGAGATGGATTTTGGCTAACATTTAGCAAATTTTTCCATCAGTGAAACATTTGATCTTAATACAGCTTTCTGTTTCCTAAATTAGAATCTGTTACGAACAGGGTGGACCACGTTTTGTAGACTTTACCCTTTGCCAAAGTTTCTAAAAATGTAGTTCTTTAGAAGGAATGCAAGGGCGAATTTAGTTATTGCGTTCCCTAACGGAAATATGCAAATACATGCTAGAACGCGCCAATAGAATCTCGCTAGCTCGGGCTTGGCTCTGCCCACCTTGTTTTGCCCTCTATGATTAATTTGCTCCCATTGGAAACGACAGGCTGTGGACTATCTTGGGTTAGTTATAAAAAATCTTTGTTGATATCATGTGATGCCGGTTAAAGCCAAACAGGAGCAAACTTGGCATGCATCAACCAAAAAAGCAGGGTAAAAATAATTAGAAAAAGGGAACGGTATTTATTTTCTTACCAATTAATCCAACGCTTAACATGAGCTGAGTTTCTGGTGCCGCCATATCCCATCACAATTCTGTCGTACTGTCGGGAGTTGACAATTAGGGACTCATGAACAGCTAGCTGTTCCTGACTGTTTGGAGATGGGAGGAGCAAGAAAGATGAGCAAAAGCTATGATAAAACATGTTCATTAGCTCTAGCAAGTTAGCGGTTATACCGATATCAACAAATTAGCCACAATGAATGATTAGCTACAAGTAGTTCGACTGATAACATTTGATTTGAGAAGTCATGCACAGTTTGCTGATAACGTTAGTCTTAGGCAAATAGCTAGCTACAGTATAGGACACGCTAAATTGACGAAAGTAGAGTTACCGTGTGTCTGGCCCAGATCTGCGATTATTATCGTCTGGATTTAGCGAATCTATAAAATGTATAAATGATTAGCTAACATTGATGCTTTCAAAACACACAAGCATTGTGAACCTAGCGCCATTAAGGTCATGTGATCATACGGCAAATATTCAAAATAAAAGTCCCATGAAAAACTGTTACTTGACTGTTACAGGACGTTTTACTGATTTTAAAATCACAAAACGTATAGTTTAAAGTTACTAAACATTTGAAAATACAAACAATATATTATTAAGATAAATTAACAAAGATCGATTTACTGTATTATTATTTTTTTTAACTATAGCCTAATGATGATGCTTTCCATTATAGTCCCCTGTAAAAAACAACAACAACACAATACCAACACTGTTGCTGGAAGTATTAGTGGTTTTTAACTACTGTCAACACGTAACAGAACAGGATTTAAACATGTTTTGAAGATAGCATTTTCACATTGGCCCGGTCCAGGGATAACTTTGGACGGGCCACAGTGTTTGCCCTGTACAAGGCCATAGAGGAAGCGGTGAACCACATGACAGTGTCTGCCTTCCAGCAGAGACCCCAGACTGTGTTTTTATGTGAGGAGGACGCTACCCTGGAACTGAGGGTTAAAAGTGTCACCTACTTCCAAGGTGAGCCCATGCTTACCAAATGGTCCATGCTATCTGGGATCCTTGGGACGTCCCTACCCCCCATTGAAGTTGGTTAACATAAGGGTTAGGTTAGGGATGTCCCAAGAATGCTGGATAGCACTGAACCTTACCAAATGACTTAATCCCCACTGTTTATTTCATGATTGTGGTCCTCTGTAGCTCAGCTGGTAGAGCACGGCGCTTGTAACGCCAAGGTAGTGGGTTCGATCCCCGGGACCACCCATACACAAAAATTTATGCACGCATGACTGTAAGTCGCTTTGGATAAAAGCGTCTGCTAAATGGCATATTAATTTAATATTAATTGTGCCTTATGAACAAATGCTTCATCGATTCAGTGTTTCATGTTATTTTTGGCCTAGGATTTATTTATTTTATTTAACAAAAACTAAAATGTGAGTAAAATGAAAATCTAACTCACTTGAGCTATTGTTATTTCCCCTTTAGGACACATCTGGAAACCTGCAATGACAAAGATGCAGGACCTTCCTGGATAGGAGCAGGATGGAGGACAGTGCCATCGAGTGGAATGAAAATTAAACTATTATTACAGATATAATTTAAATGAACAATATTGAACTTTCAATCATTCATTCGTTTTCAACTCATGTATATTTAACATTGTAAAAGCATTGTGTTTAATACACATTTCGATGTCCCCTTATTCAAATAATTACATGTACTGATTGCATGTTTTATTTAAATGTAATTTACCCACCTTGGCAACATTCACAAGGCCGCAGGGCCAGACGGATTACCAGGACGTGTACTCCGAGCATGTGCTGACCAACTGGCAAGTGTCTTCCACTGATATTTTCAACATGTCCCTGACTGAGTCTGTAATACCAACATGTTTCAAGCAGACCACCATAGTCCCTGTGCCCACGAACACTAAGGTAACCTGCCTAAATGACTACCGACCCGTAGCATTCACGTCTGTAGCCATGAAGTGCTTTGAAAGGCTGGTCATGGCTCACATCAACACCATTATCCTAGAAACCCTAGACCCACTCCAATTTGCATACCGCCCCAACAGATCCACAGATGATGCAATCTCTATTGCACTCCACACTGCCCTTTCCCACCTGGACAAGAGGAACACCTACGTGAGAATGCTATTCATTGACTACAGCTCAGTGTTCAACACCATAGTGCCCTCAAAGCTCATCACTAAGCTAAGGATCCTGGGACTAAACACCTCCCTCTGCAACTGGATCCTGGACTTCCTGACGGGCCGCCAAGTCTAGGTCCAAAAGGCTTCTCAACAGCTTCTACCCCCAAGCCATAAGACTTCTGAACATCTAATCATGGCTACCCGGACTATTTGCACTGCCCCCCCACCCCACCCCCCTCTTTTATGCTGCTGCTACTCTGTTTATTATTTATGCATAGTCACTTTAACTCTACCCACATGTACATATTACCTCAATTACCTCGACTAGCAGGTGCTCCCGCACATTGACTCTGCACCGGTACCCCCCTGTATACAGCCTCCCTACTGTTATTTTACTTTACTGCTGCTGTTTAGTTATTTGCTTTTATTTTTTTACTCAACACTTTTTCTATTTTAATTGTTTTTAATTGTTTTAATGCATTGTTGGTTAAGGGCTTGTAAGTAAGCATTTCACTGTAATGTCTACATCTGTTGTATTCGGCGTATGTGGCAAATAAAATGTGATTTGATTTGATTTACAAATAACCACTAGCACTCAACAATAAGCCTTAATACCTCCTAAAATAGCATGAAAAGAGGTGGGTAGGAACAATGAAACAGAATAAGGCATCTTGATACAGCCTACATATACTACCATTTGTGAGTGTTCAAGTAAACTAAGGACTTTTATTTTGAAGCTTTTTGCGCGATTTGGACCCGTTAATGACGCTTATTGGCGCTGATTTTTTCATCGGTACCCAAGGACGACCCACGTGACCTTAGTGAAACGGTTGTCCTTAGCGTCTATATGCTGCGTTCAAAACAACTGGGAAATCGGAAATATCCGACTTCAGTTTGTTCAAGACAACTGGGAACTTGGAAAAAACAGTTTTGAACGATCATCCAACTCGGAATTCCAACTCGGGAACTCGGACCTCTTTCTAGACCTGAAGATCACTGATGTCATGATTTGACCTCGTATTTTTCCGAGCTCCCAGTTGTCATCAACGCACCAATAGCCACAAAGTCATAAACAATATCAAACACAGAAACCGATGAAAAGCTCTTCGTGTACATACGGGAACTTATGTCGTCACTGATGTGGGCCGCTCACGAGCAAGGTTGCCATGTTCGTTTTATCCTGAATTTAGGCTACTTTTAAAACGATGTTGCGGGTGAAAATGTATATAAAATATATATATATATATATATATTTTTTTTTTCTTCCCATTGTGACCTGTTGCTGCTGACTATCAGGCAGTGAGGCAGGCTGTTGCTGAGTGAGTGGTGGAGAGGGCCGGTGGCGTGTGTGTGTGTGTTGAGAGAGACCGCTGCATGCGATAGTCCACTATTGGCTGGAGACAGAGCAGCAAACGCGCACGCCTTGACAACTTTATACCAGTTGTAGGTAGGCTATTTAACTTGTCATTATGCGGGAGTGGAACTTTTAAATAGATGTTATGGAACTCCCTCGCGTGCTTCTGTTATTGGGAAAAGTCTTCAATGAAACTGACATTAAATGTGGAGAATGATACATTTGCATCTGTTGGCCATCAAGTAGCCTATTGATTTAAATGTCATTGTAGGCTACCATTTGATACAATAAATATGTTGAAATGACTATCACTGGAGTCATTGCAAATCAATTTGTGCCACTTGTGTAGCCTACTAGGAACTGGCAAACGGATTTAATAAATAGCCTATAACTTTAGTGTATTGTTGTTGTAGCCTTGTTTTATTATGCAATTATTAAATGGGCCTGTTTAGTTAATTAAATTGGAAGTTATCAAAGCTATCGCAATTGCCGATCAGTTGTTAGAACGCATTTGATTGACGGTAAATCAGTCAGTCAGATTAGGCTACAGGTTAAAAATAAATAAAAAATAAACACTGGCTGTTGTTGACAAGCATATTAAGTTCATATAAATATGATTAGTATTTAATTCAGTGATTGAAATTATGACCCAATCATCAGTAGCCTATTCCAGCAGCCTATAGGGAAACACACGCACGTCTTACCTCGAAATGGCCAAACTATTCATATTGAACAGATTAGTCTGTTAATTTGAATTAAGCAAGCTGCTAAATCGTTCAGTTTAGATCTAGCCTACCTTTTGCCTAGACTACTGTAGACTATCTGAAATAAGATGTAGGCCTATCAGGGGCTATAGGCTACCTGCATCTATCTAAGCAAACCATGGCAAAGTTGAATTATAACCATTAACCCGGATTTTAGTCTGTAGCCATTTATAACTTTTTGTAGTGTTAATAAATAATAAAGGCACAATTGCCAGAAAATAGCCTAACATTCGTTTTTTAAAGTTCATCCAAGTGTTTCTTGCTCAAAGATTTCGAGATCCTCTGTCCAACTTTCATCACTCACACTCTCCTGTTTAATTTATCTATAGTTATGTACATGGGCAAAAGGGATTTATATACAATTATAAACAGGTTCCAGCCATGAATGCTGATTGGCTGACAGACATGGTATATCACACCACATACCATGGGTATGACAAAAAAGTACTTTTATGTTGGTAATCAGTTTATAATAGCAATATGGCACCCTGGGTTTTGTGGTATATGGCCAATATACCACAGCTATATCCAGGCACTCCATGTTGGTCATGCTTAAGAACAGCCCTTAGATGTGGTATATTTGCCATATACCATACCCCCTCATGCGTTATTGCTTAATCATAGCAGTCAAACGAGTTAAATCGACATCCATTGATGGAAAATTATCTGGCAAGTTTAATAAGTGCAAATTATATATATGTTATCTTGCAACATATTCAAATTAGTTTATTACATGTCATGGTTTGCAATTATTATTATTTTGATGAAAACCGAATTTAGCGTTACAAGTTATGTCGATATTCCGTGTTAATTGGCTCGATAACATTATGGAAAAACAGTTTCTTCTATAAATGTGTCAACTCATCTCTTGCTGTTGGGAAAAAAAAGTAGTAGTTTTCAGGGCTTTTGTGCGGGTTTTGAGTAGTCGTTGGTACATACATTTTTGCTACAACCTGGCAACCCTGCTCACGAGGTTAACTCCTTTCCCAGGAGCTTGTTGGAGTGGGTGAATGCGTCGCGCCGATGGACCGGTGAAATTAGTAAAATTCACCTAAACCAACCTTCTCTTCATTCCGCGAGTAAGCTATAAAAATGCCGGCATATTTCCAACGTCCGGAGAATGCTCTCAAACGAGCAAATGGTGAGTCGTAGAGGGTAATTTGCTAGCTAGGTATTCATTGTTGGTTTGCCATGGTTAACGTAGCTAGCTACGCATGGCGGGGAAGCCATGTTTCAAGTATACACTCGTTCAGGCCACCCGTGTCACCAGGCCTTAGTTAGGGTTCCACCACCCAATGACGTGAAATGTGTCATGGCCCTGCCAATTCAGCAAGATTAGCCACTTGAAATCGAAAATCACACTAACTATCAGATTGTCTCACTGACATCAAAAAGTACCTGCCATCTTTGCTCACACTGACACTGATTACAGTAGCATTTAAACGTCAGCACATCCTAGCCCTGAAGAGGGGCTAACGTATTAACAATACCCCGTCATCATCAAGCTAAGATAGTAAGTGGCTAACTAGTGGCACAGTGAGCAACTTGTCCAACTCGCTTTGATGTCCGTAACTAATCAGTTTAGCCACATGTAACGTTAACTATCAACTGAAAGGTAACAAGTTCTGCTGGTTAATGTTTTTAGAATTGTCTTGGATATATAACTAGCAAACTAGATTGCATCACCAAAACAAGGCCCTACTAAGATTGTCTATCAATTGCAGTAGCTAAATGTGGTAGTTAGCTAGTTAGGCACCGTTAATTAGGATGAATGAGTCAGTTGTCACAGCTAACATTCTCTGTACTCACTCATCTTGCAGTTATATTGTCGCTTAGTAGTACCAATAGTCGTAATTCGTCAAGATATGTCTGGTTTGAGGAGGAGCTACCCCATTCATAGACGCTAACTGCTCTTTAGTGCCTCTGATGATAGTTTGTTCTGGTCGGGGATCTTTTGTTAAGAGCGCCTTCGCTCGTTTTGAACGTTAAAACGCATCGCATACGGTACAGTTTTGGAAACATAAAGAAAGTGTCTTTAATATGAGCGAGAAACAATACATAAAAAAAAAAAAAAAGGTTATTCTTCGATTAGTTTTAACGGTGGTTGGCATCCATGTTGCATTACCGCCACCTACTAGACTGGAGTATAACTCCCTTATACTTTGCTTTAAAAAAATAAAAAATAATACAAATTATAATACTCTACCATCTAAACATAAAAAACAATAATAATAACCATACTCCACTATTTAAAACTATTTAGTCCTACTTCAGGCCAACAGCCTGAAAGGATGGGACACCGCCACTTAACACACCCTGGAACTCTTCTGATGTCAAGTCTTGCACTCCCAAATACCTCTCTGCAGCTGCCACCACAACCTCTATTTTCTGCGACTTACGTTCCATCCCTGCAGTACAGTTGATAACCATTGCTATAAATGCCAAAAATCCAATCTTACTGAAACATATATCACTTGTTGGCCTATCCCTCTGTACTGGTACAGATCTACTACTCACACCACTCCTCTCAGGATCCCTCCCCCTTGACCCATCTTCCTCTACTTTCTTCACTGCCTCAGCATATGACAACTTCTGCACTATAACCCTGGAAACCTCAACCTGCCTCTCTAGCACGGGACATTTCTGATCCCCAGCCCCATGGGCACCCCTACAATTAACACATACCACGACTTTCCCCAATGCTACACATTCCTTAGTCTCATGCCCTTCTGCACACTTCTCACACCTAGGAACCGCCCTCCTACACACTGCTGCCACATGCCCATAAACTTGACACCTGTAACAATGTAATGTATTTGGCACAAATGCTTGTACAGGATAACTTGTATATCCTAACATCACTTTGTCGTGCAAATACATATAACTCAAAAGAACAGACAATGACTCTTCTGTTTCTCCACTCACGCCACCCTGTTTGCGTCGCACCAAATGACGAGCATCACAAACCCCGGGAATCTTCCCCTTCAGTTGGTCAGCTTTCACATTTACCGCTATCCCAGTAATCACTCCTGTCAATGGCGCCCTTTTCTTAAGATCAAAACAATTCACATCTCTTGCCCCTATTCATTAAACACGGAGCGCCTGCTCCCTCTGACGAGCAGAAACACAAATAATTATCACTAGACCACTTCTGGTTACCCTAACCGATTCCACAGCACCCAACTCTGTTTACACCCACCCTGAAACCGCAAATGGATCAGCCATAAGGCAAGGGTCCATTTTTTCCAGAACCTTCACTCCTATTGTCACAGACTTATCTTTATCCTGAACTTCGGTGCAAGCCTCGGGCTCCAAGAAGTTCACCACACCTACCAGCTCCGCCCTCATTCACTTCCATTTCTCCTCCTGTCTTCAGCTCACTCTGCTTATACTTTTTACCATTCTTCTTTAACAAACTATCTCCCTTTTTCCCACAATTTTTAACCGACTCAATCTCACCCTCTTCCCCCCTCTCTCTCTTAGACCTCCTCTGCCTCTCTTTTTCCCTCCATTCCTCCTCCATATTCCAAGTAAAACTCTCCTTATGATAATACTGCACTTCTCCTGACATCTTGTTCTTGCCTTGTCAAGGAACGCCATTTAATCGGCTGTCACAATCTCCGTACAATCAGCACGAACCCCTCGGGATGTAGCGCTCAACAGCGCATCCCACTTGTAAATCAGCTGCTTCGTCTTGATGTTCTTCTTTATCATGATCTTTTCCATTTCAAACAAGCGCGCTCTCTTTCTCCTGGATTCCGACGCGCTCCTTCAACCACCAACCTCAAAACAAAAGGTTAAATGACTACACACCTTTTTGTAGGGTTACTTCTTGCGCTTCCCAGAGCAGAGCTGTTGTCAAGGAAGTGAGTTTTTGTGTTTATACAGGAGCTCCCGCCCACACCTACCGTCAACCAGTCATGTCAATGCGGAGCTATACAGAGCCCTCCACATTATTAAATCATTTGGGAGGCGCACGGCATCGCCTTACTGAGCTCGATTTGGCCTCCGGAGGCTCTGCAATTGCATCACAACCTCCGTACAGCATTGTCGGATCAAGCATAAATCAGCTGTTAGTGTTCTCACACGGCCATATCTCCATGTTACAGCGCTTGTTTACGGAAGACGGATGGAAGATATAGGTGGTCACCAGTGCCAATTAGCTATCTAGTGCGGTCCTAACACGTGTGTATGCGTAACTGGGGAAGAAGTGTAGTTCGTCAACTGGAGGCACATAGCGTTTAGATCTGTACAAAACTGGTACAGTAAGTGTAAAACATTTATTCTCGCTGATATGAAAGATAAGGGGCATATCTGCATATGTTTCAAAAGCCGTTTTGCAATCAGTGATTATTGACGTTTCTAAACTTTAAAACACAGCGTCGAAATTGTAGTTTGCATGCAGCCAACCGTGGGGGAAGCTAACTGCTGAAAACCCTATGTATAATAAGACAGGTTTTCAAGGGCTAGGGAGTAGCTAGCTAAATGGTTAGGTTGATAGCTCTACTTTCAACTATCAGATCTTTTTCATCCATTTGGTGTCCCATGAATATAAATGTTATATTATAGCAAGTAGCAACTGATTCACCATCAACACTATTATGCTGTTTGCATCCATTTTCATGTAATTTGCTGTGTTTGTACAGAGTTCTTGGAGGTTGGCAAAAAGCAGCCAGCTTTGGATGTTTTGTACGATGTCATCAAGAGCAAAAAGCATCGAACATGGCAGAAGATCCACGAGCCCATCATGGTCAAGTACCTGGAGCTCTGCGTCGACCTGCGCAAGAGCCACCTGGCAAAGGAGGGTCTCTACCAGTACAAGAACATCTGCCAGCAGGTCAGAGGAAGCACACTCTTTGATAACCCTAAATGTTGGATACTATTGATACTATTGAGTCACTCACCTGCCGTAGTGAATGGTCCAATGCAGCCGTTTTTATCTCAATGTCAAATAATTTCTGCGTAAAAATTAAGTATCTTACTGTGATTGTTTTCAATTAAAATGGTCAAAAAGAAACAAATAGCTTCTTAGCAAAGAGCAATTTCTCAAGCAAGAATTTTGATAGGAGTGGTCTGAGTGTGGAGGGGAAAAGTGAACACTACCAGTTATTGGCAGAGAGGTTTGTAACTCTTTCTTATTGGTCTGCTAACTAATTTACCTCCTGGTGATGCCACCAGCCAGGCCAAAACTCCACCCCACCAAAACAGGCAGACATTTCAGGCGGTCTTTTCAAACAGCCCTTACACTAAAAGGGAATTATAATTTTCACAGTATTATTCCAACCTCATTTTATATATACAGTGCCAGTCAAAAGTTTGGACACACCTACTCATTCAAGGTTTTTTCTTTATTTGTACTCTTTTCTACATTGTAGAATAATAGTGAAGACATCAAAACGATGAAATAACACATATGAAATCATGTAGTAACCAAAAAAGTGTTAAACAAATCAAAATAAATGTGAGATTCTGCAGAATGCTGTGGTAGCCATGCTGGTTAAGTGTGCCTTGAATTCTAAATAAATCACAGACAGTCACAAGCAAAGCACCCACACATAAACACCATAACACCTCCTCCTGTGTGTATATTAAATATACACTGGGCCTTTAAGCATGAGCCTCTATTTCGTGTTGTAGGTGAACATCAAATCCCTGGAGGATGTGGTTCGAGCCTACCTGAAGCTGGCCGAAGAGAAGACTGAGACCGCCAAGGGGGAGTCGCAGCAGATGGTTCTGGACATTGAGGACCTTGATAACATCCAGACTCCTGAGAGGTATTTATTTCACCTTGAATTAAACTAGGAAGTTAAATGGGGCCATTAAACATTTATTGTGATGGGCTGATACTATAATTCAGATATATTGGACTATCGGCACACTTATTGTTACTACCTTTAATAGTGGTAACCATGCTAACAGTCGTGCTTCACCTCTGCTGTAAACCATTCAAGTGGTGGTGTGCACAGTGATGGGAAAGGGGGATACCTAGTCAGTTGCACAACTGAATGCATTCAACTGAAATGTGTCTTCCGCGTTTAACCCAACCCCTCTGAATCAGAGAGGTGCGGAGGGCTGCTTTAATTGACATCCACATCTTCGGCGCCCGGGGAACAGTCGGTTAACTGCCTTGCTCAGGGGCAGAACGACAGCTCGGGGATTCGATCCAGCAACTTTTCGGTTACTGTCCCAACGCTCCTACCCGCAAGGCTACCTTCCACCCCGAAATGTTGACGGTGTAGTTCTGTGAGCTCAAGTATTGATGTATGACTTTCTGTGTGATCCTAGTGTACTTCTAAGTGCTGTGAGTGGTGAAGACACCCAGGATCGTACAGACCGTCTGCTGCTCACTCCTTGGGTGAAATTTCTGTGGGAATCCTACCGCCAATGCCTGGACCTGCTGCGGAACAACTCCAAGGTGGAGCGCCTCTACCATGACATTGCCCAACAAGGTGAGAGAAAGAATCCCGCCTAATTACACCAAAAATAACAAATAACGGTTGAGCACGCTTTGTAATGTTTCTAAAGCAAGAAATGTATTACTAGTAAGAAATAATGTGGTATATTGCTCAATTAAATTTTTGTGACCGGAGTCTTTTAACCAATCATTTAGATACAATAGTAAAACAGACAAACAGTTCTACAACTGAACATCACAAATCAACAGTGCCTGCCCTGCCACAAATGAGTGATAAGTCTTATTTATTATTATTATTAGTTCAAGGCTCTAACGCTGACATTTTTTACAATGAGTACATTTCTCTATTTAGGAGCACACAAATACATTTAGGAGCACAATGCAATTATTTGGATGTTTTAATGATAAGGAATTACTAAAAGTTCATGAATAAGCGTTTTTGGAGTGTTCCATGCTCATTCAAGCACAATGTACCCCCAAATATTTGAGTAATTTAGGTGAGACAGAAATGTTCAGCTGCTCCTTTAAACTTGTACAATTGGGCTTTGGATGGATTCTTTCCCCCTCCCAAATGCTGTGTGACCACCCGCCAACGTGGCTAGTGAAATAGACATTCTTACCCGCCAATGCCAAAATCTACCCACATGTTGGCGGGTGTTAATTTCCCACCCTGAAGATGTACATGAGGGTCGGAAAATATTAGTATCTCCAGAAAGATTGTATTTGAAAATAACATAATCATTTCGTATCCGTGCCTGGTCTGAGTTTAGGTTTGACATTATCTAACAATCTTGTTATTAGAAATATATATTAGTCTGAGATGGGTAAGTGTAGTATGCTGTGACTTAGTTTTTTTCCTAACGTTAGGTTTACTCACACTGTCACCATATCACAGTATGAAGTGTAATTATGGTTCATAATTCAAGCTAAAGTCAACAGTTGCCAGTGTTGTAAACGTTGATGTAAATGTAAAATAATATGTATTGCTCCGCATCCTAACCATATCCTGATGTGCTCCACAGCTTTCAAGTTCTGCCTTCAGTACACCCGTAAGGCAGAGTTCCGGAAGCTGTGCGACAATCTACGCATGCATCTGGGTCAGATCCAGCGCCACCACAACCAGAGCACGGCCATCAACCTGAACAACCCTGAGAGCCAGTCTATGCACCTGGAGACACGGCTGGTGCAGCTGGACAGTGCCATCGCCATGGAGCTCTGGCAGGTATGATGTCATAGATGCAGGGATGGAAATGAAGCTTGCCTGCTCGCCTGAGGCGAGTGTTTTTCAGAACGGCAGCAGCTGCCTAGCCATCAGGCGGGTGAGATTTTCAGAGAGCGAGGGAAATGCATTTTAAGGTGTTTTATGAGCCGCTGTGATTTGCACATGTATTAAAATGCTCTATATCAACAACTCCACCTTAAAAGTCTAATTACTGCTCTGGGGTGGGCTGGCTAGCTGTGGGCTACTTAGCTGGCCATTGGCGAGTGTTCATGTTGACGTAGCTAGCTACAGTGTAGTTGATTGATTGACATGCGAGTAGACCGCTAGCCTCGATCCTCTGCCTTCGAGGCGGCGGGTAAACGGATATGCACAAGTTTAGTTTGGTTGCCAAGCAACAAATTGGAAGTTTTGGAATGGCCTAGTCAAAGTCCAGACCTAATCCCAATTGAGATGTTGTGGCAGGACTTGAAACGTGCAGTTCATGCTTGAAAACCCACACGTCACTGAGTTAAAGCAGTTCTGCATGGAAGAGTGGGCCAAAATTCCTCCACAGCGACGTGAGAGACTGATCAACAACTACAGGAAGCATTTGGTTGGAGTCATTGCAGCTAAAGGTGGCACAACCAGTTATTGAGTGTAAGGGGGCAATTACTTTTTCACACAGGGGAATTGGGTGTTGCATAACTTTGTTTATGAAATAAATATGTAATTGTGTTATTTGTTCACTTATGTTCCCTTTATCTAATATTAGGTTTTGGTTGAAGATCTGATAACATTCAGTATCACAAATATGCAAAAGTAGAGAAAATTAGAAAGGGGGCAAATACTTTTTCATAGCACTGTATGTCTATATCTGCTGGGCGCTCACCTCACATATATACGACTATATAAACTGGGCTAGTAACATCTTAGCCGGGCTAGTAGCAATTCCAGTCTACTAGCCCGGATGGCCAGTGCCCAAAAGCCTTGAGTTCCATCACTGCGTATATGATTAGCTTGCAATATTGTAACTGTTGCATCTAGAAGAAGAATACTTTATTGTCCATATTTTCTTTTTTCAACAAGCAATTTTTTGATCTACATTTTATTATGAACATTGATTTTATGTGTTATGAATGGTGACATTAGAATTGTGATTTTTACAGGAAGCTTTCAAAGCTGTGGAAGACATCCATGGCCTCTTTGCCCTTTCCAAGAAGCCCCCCAAGCCTCAACTTATGGCCAACTACTACAACAAGGTGTCCACTGTGTTTTGGAAGTCTGGGAACGCCCTGTTCCACGCCTGCACCCTCCACCGCCTCTACCACCTCTCCAGGGAGATGCGCAAGAACCTCACCCAGGAGGAGATGCAGAGGTATGCTATCCCAGTCCTTACCAGTCTCTGCTGGAATGTGTGGCACGTAGAAATATATAATTACTAGAACGGCCATTCTCAAGCCAATGTTTGATAGGCAGATCCGAGGTTGCAGGTCAGGCAGGTGCTCACGGCTCTCTTTTCTCTCTCTTCCTCAGGATGTCCACAAGGGTCCTCCTGGCCACCCTGTCCATTCCCATCACCCCGGAGCGCACGGACATCGCCCGCCTGTTGGACATGGACGGCATCATCGTGGAGAAACACCGCAGGCTGGCCACACTACTGGGCCTGCAGTCCCCACCAACCCGCCAGAGCCTCATCAATGACATGGTATATACACACACACATACATGGAACAGACTATAAAAAGAACCATAGGGATTTGTGTTTGTGAGCAGGCTGGGTATAAGAGGCTGGTGACAGAATGTCTCATATTTCAGACAGTGTTAGGAGTTTGCATTCTAATGCTAGACTTGTTTTAGTCCTGTGAACAACCCATACAGATACATTTGTTTATTACATCACCTTAACTAACTGCTGTTGCTTTTGTCAGGGGTTGTTCACTGAGTGCATGTTATGTTTCCCTTTAGGTGAGGTTCAATCTGCTGCAGTACATTGTACCTGAAGTGAAGGAGCTGTACAATTGGCTGGAGATGGACTTCCACCCACTGAAGCTGAGCGGAAGAGTAGCAAAGGTAACATTTGAATTCAGATTCAATTTGACTTGCAACTGTACAAAAACAATACACAATGTACAATGCATACATACAATTCCTCTAAAATGACAGCTATTTGTTACATGGCTGATTTGTTTACCATTTGTTTTCTTCATCTGTGGTATTGACCTGCCCCCCTCTTCTGCTTAGGTGTTGAACTGGGTGAGAGACCAGTCTGAGAAGGAGGCAGACCTCCAGCAGTATGTTCCCCACCTGCAGAGTAACACCATCCTTAGGCTGCTGCAGCAGGTGACTTATTGCTCATTTTGGATTGTTTGCTTACTTATACTTTGATGGTCTGTTAATCTCACTCGTAGTTAAATGTCACGAATATGTGTCAAACAATAACTAATCAAATACAATACAATATAACTTTATTATTAACCATGTCTGTTGTACTTGTTGTAACTCTATAGTGCAGGGATGGGCACCAGGAGGCCCGCGAGATGATTAAATGCCGTCCACAATAGATTTAGTTAATAAAACAATTGGGATTAAAAAACAACTCCAGGCTACATTTGAACGTCTAAAACCTTATAGAAAGTATGTAGAAGTTATAATGTACTTATGTATTTTAAAATAACTGCCTTTTTCCAGCCCACAAATAGATTTTGACGCACAAAATGGTCAACAACAAAAAAAACGCAGCCTCAAGATGTTTCCCATCTCTCCTATAGTGTGTAATGCATGTTGTCATTGCAACAAAATGCTTTGTAACTCATGTCATGTATTGTATGTAAATTGTGGTCCTATGAGCTAATCACTGAAAACTGTTTATTTTAATGGGATATTAGGTGGCTCAAATCTATCAGAGCATTGAGTTCAACCGTCTGGCCTCCCTGGTTCCATTTGTGGATGCCTTCCAGTTGGAGCGCTCCATTGTGGATGCTTCCCGACACTGTGATCTGCAGGTAGAGTACTAGACATGGATTTTGCCTGGAACAATGAGATTCTCTGTGCAAAATCCTAGAAAGTGGACTTTTCAACTAAATACATTTTTGTGTTTTCATACCTATACACTTTGAATTCAGTCAGTATTTCCAGGACTAAAATATGAACACTTCTGTTTATATTACACAGAATGGTCACAGGAGGTTGGTGGCACCTTAATTTGGGAGAACGAGCTCGTGGTAATGACTGGAGCGAAATTGTATCATACACATGGCTTCCAGGTGTTTGATGCCATTCCATTGGCTCCGTTCCGGCCATTATTATGAGCCGGTCTCCCCTCAGCAGCCTCCGCTGAGAATGGTACACGTGAAAATATTTTGGAAATGTCTGTTCTAGGTTCGAATTGACCACACCACTCGAAACCTGAGCTTTGGTTCAGACCTGAACTACTCGACCAAAGAGGACTCTCCTGTGGGACCGTTCCTGCAGAACATGCCCTCTGCGCAGATCAGGAACCAGCTGAGAGCCATGTCATCATCCTTGGCCAAGGCGATCCAGGTCATAAAGCCTGCATCCATGCTGGTGAGCACAGCCCCCCGTCGAGATAGCATTTGGATATGGACAGCTAGCCCTAAAAACGTCAAGTCGACGATGTCGCTGTCCTCCCTGATCAAATATCAAAACTTGCTTTCTTATCTATCATCCCCGATGCACATTCCATAAATTATTCTATGGTATTTAGGGCCAATACTGTATGTATTGTTCCATGCATATACATACAAACACACCACCAATTCACATTGATACTGCATTCATGCAAAATCTCTGTTACTCCTTTTCATTCTCGCTCTAACAAACCTGTCCCTATCTCTCACTCTTCTACCCTCTTGTCTGCCATGTCCAGCAAGAGCGCGAGGAGCAGAGCCAGCTGGCCATCACCGCCTACCTGAAGAACGGCCGCAAGGAGCATCAGCGCATCCTGGCCCGCCGGCAGACCATCGAGGAGCGCAAGGAGCGCCTGGAGAACCTGAACATCCAGCGGGAGAAGGAGGAGCTGGAACAACGCGAAGCGGAGCTGCAGAAGGTGCGCAAAGCAGAAGAGGAGCGCCTGCGCCAGGAGGCCAAGGAGCGCGAGAAGGAGCGCATCATGCAGGAGCACGAGCAGATCAAGAAGAAGACGGTGCGCGAGCGGCTGGAGCAGATCAAGAAGACAGAGCTGGGAGCCAAGGCTTTCAAATACTTCGATATAGAGGTAAGCTACACAAACTCAACGAAGCTGTACATTCTGCCACTCATCAAACATATTAACCTTAGAGATCCTATTAAAGCTGCAATATGTAACTTTTTGATTGACCGGACCAAATTCACATAGAAATGTGCATTATAGATCTGTCATTCTCATTGAAAGCAAGTCTAAGAAGTGGTAGATCTGTTCTTTGTGCTCTATTTCTATGCTTCCCATTAAGTTTTGTTTTTGCGTCTTTTACTTTCGGTTTTGTACATCAGCTTCAAACAGCTGAAAATATAATATTCTGGGTTATGGAAAATATATTTCACAGCGGTTTAGACGGTACAATGATTCTCTACACTATACTTGCTTGTTTTGTCACAAAAACTGAAATTAGGTTAACTGTTAGAATTTTAGCAACTAGGAAATGGCGGAGCGATTTCTGCATAGTGCATCTTCAAATTACTAGACGGGCTATGTCATAAACCCTCAAAGTTCCAGAATGGGGTGATACTCTGTAGCTCAGCTGGTAGAGCACGGCGCTTGTAACGCCAAGGTAGTGGGTTCGATCCCCGGGACCACCCATACACAAAAATGTATGCACACACGACTGTAAGTCGCTTTGGATAAAAGCGTCTGCTAAATGGCATATTATTATTATTATAATGGCAGCAATATTGGTCGGAAAAATCCAAACCAGTCTAATTGGAATGAATGGCATTAAATAAAAGTAAGGCATGTTATGTAATAGAATTGTCAACCTAAAATATTGTCATATAAATACACTGAGTGTACAAAACATTAGGAACACCTGCTCTTTCCATGACATACACTGACCAGGTGAATCCAGGTGAACTCTATGATCCTGGAGAAACTTATTGATGTCACCTTTTAAATCCACTTAAATCAGTGTAGATGGGGAGGAGACAGGTTAAAGAAGGACTTTTAAGCCTTGAGACAATTGAGACATGGATTGTGTATGTGTGCCATTCAGAGGATGAATGGGCAAGACAAAAGATTGACGTCTCTTTGAATGGGGTGTAGGTGCCAGGCGCACCGGTTTGTGTCATGAACTGCAACGCTGCTGGGTTTTTCACCCTCAACAGTTTCCCGTGTGTATCAAGAATGGTCCATCACCCAAAGGACATCCAGCCAACTTGACACAGCTGTGGGAATCATTGGAGTCAACATGGGCCAGCATCCCTGTGGAACGCTTTCGACACGTTGAAGAGTCCATGCCCTGATTAATTGAGGCTGTTCTGAGGGCAAAAAAGGGGGGGTGCAACTCAATATTAGGAAGGTACAATACTGGTTCTATACGAATTTTCTGTATAAATAGCCTCTAAAATATATGTAAACAGACCATAAATGTCTCAGATTTTGTTTTCTTGGAAAGCTGTGAGTGCTATTATACAGAACAAAAATATAAACGCAACATGCAACAATTTCAAAGATTTTACGGAGTTACAGTTCATATAACGAAAATCAGTAAATTGAAATAAATTCCTGAGGCCCTAATCTGCATCCATGCTGATGAGCACAGCCACCCATGACTGGGAATACACATACTATATGCATCTGTTGGTCACAGATACCTTAAAAAAAAAGTAGGGGTGTGGATCAGAAAGCCAGTCAGTATCTGGTGTTACCACCATTTTCGTCATGCAGAGCGACACATCTTCACATAGAGTTGATCAGGCTGTTGATTGTGGCCTGTGGAATGTTGTCCCACTGATCTTCAATGGCTTTGCGTAGTTGCTGGATATTGGCAGGGATTTGAACACGTTGATCCAGAGTATCCCAAACATGCTCAATGGGTAACGTCTGGTGAGTATGCAGGCCATGGAAGAACTGGGACATTTTCAGCATCCAGGAATTGTGTACAGATCCTTGCGACATGGGGCTGTGCATTATCATGCTGAAACATGAGGTGATGGCAGCGGATGAATGGCACGACAATGGGCCTCAAGATCTCGTCACGGTATCTCTTTGCATTCAAATTGCCATCGATAAAATGCAATTGTGTTTGTTGTCCGGAGCTTATGCTTGCCCTCACCATAACCCCACCTCCACCATGGGGCATTCAATTAACAAGGTTGACATCAGCAAACTGAATGCCCACACAACGCCGTACACGTGGTCTACGGTTGTGAGGCCGGTTGGACGTACTGCCAAAATGATCTAAAACAATGTTGGAGGAGGCTTATGGTAGAGAAATTAACATTTCATTCTCTGGTAACAGCTCTGGTGGACATTCCTGCAGTCAGCATGCCAGTTGCACGCTCCCTCAACTTGAGACATCTGTGGCATTGTGTCGTGTGACAAAACTGCACATTTTAGAGTGGCCTTTTATTGACCCCAGCACAAGGTGCACCTGTGTAATTATCATGCTGTTTAATCAGCCACTTGATATGCCACACCTGTCAGGTGGATGGATTATCTTGGCAAGGTGAAATGCTCACCAACAGAGGTGTAAACAAATTGGTGTGCAATTTTTGATCAAAATAAGCTTTTTGTGCATATGGAAAATTTCGGGGATCTTTTATTTCAGCTCATGAAACATGGGACCAACACTTTACACGTTTTGTTTAATATTTTTGTTCTGTATATATGATACAATGTCAGCACTAGTTGCATTTACAATTCGTCTAAGTCCTATCATCAACTGACTGATTTCAGCCAGTGTATGGCTGAGGGTTGACAGCATTGTTTGAATGGAATGTTGGCTTATTGGCAGTTAATTTGACAAATTAATGGAATTGTTCCTCTCAAACTGGCTGGCTATCTAACAAACATACAGTGCAGGTACATTCTTAAAATGCATTATTTTACACTGTCTTATCACAGCTCTGGCAAACCATCGTTGCCCAACTCCCTGACCAAAATGGCTGACCTTTATACCGTCATAAGAAGGTTAATGACCATTCTAGTATTCTAATTCTATGTCAATGATGTTAAGACAAGTTTTTTCCCAATGGGTCATACCTGTATCAGTACCGTAAGTGTTAACCTGGAATGTAGATGCAATCTAGAATGGGTTTTGGAAAAGAAGTGTGGATGTACAATGATGAAATTAACTCTTAACCACCCCTTTCACAGAACCTTGAGGACCTGGACCCTGACTTCATCATGTCCAAGCAGGTGGAGCAGCTGGAGAAGGAGAAGAGAGAACTTCAGGACCGCCTGAAGAACCAGGAGAAAAAGGTGAAGACATTGAATTTTCAACAAATTAGGCGATTCCATGTTTTCTGTCTTGCCTGTTACACAAACAGGTGATACGTAAAGACCTCTACTAGGGGAAAAAATGACTCTCTCAACATTGTTTCATGTGTGGACTGGTCCTTGCAGATTGACTACTTTGAGCGGGCCAAACGTCTGGAGGAGATCCCCTTGATCAAGAAGGCCTATGAGGAGCAGCGTGTCAAAGACATGGAGTTATGGGAGCTCCAAGAGGAGGAGAGGGTATGGCAATATATTTCTTCAGTGTCTATGCCTTTGTAAATCCTAGACAAAAAACAATCTTGGTCGAACAAGAGTTGTCTGTTCTTAAAATGTGTATTTTTTCCATATATTGACACATCCTATGTGTTTTAATCAAATCAACTATATTCACTGAGCTTGTCTGATGCTTTAATCACACTGTTTGATTAAATAATTAAGAAACACAAATGACTAGAGGGAGTCCGACCAGCAATTGATTTGATTGTGCTGGGCCAGGCTCAGACTTGCTGCGCTGTGTTTAAAAAAATTAAATTAAAAAAAGACAGCGAGTGACTGTGTGACTAGCACCCGTTGTCTCGTTCTCCTCTCTGCTGCAGCGTCCACCACAGAACATCAACAGTGTTTATCGCGCTGTCCGTGTTGCTGAAGCTGCAACATAATTACAGCCATTTCTGACTGAAAAGTTCTGTTACAGAAATCCCGCATTTGTTTAGGAAAATAATTCCCTATTCCCTCAACCCTTGCTCTCTTTACGTGACACATGTATGAATCACATGCACGTGACCAAAGACCTATTCGCATTGGACTAGTATTACTAGAGAATGTTGGTTATGTAATTATTACTCCAGAATGTCTGTTATTCCAGAGGACGATTAGAACAGGATTATTTTTTTCCAAACTGCCCCCTGTAATTATTATTATTTTAAAAATTAACAGTTATGACTAAAGCCTGGAGGTTTTTATTCTAGGCTTGAAGATAGGGCCACACTGATAACTCGAGCTTGCTTCCCAAGTTTCTAAACCATATCAAACTATCTTTGGTATAGTGTCGCCATAATATTTGAATTGAGGAAGTGTGATCATAATTATTAGGATATTTTAGCCATCCACAGTACGTCCTAAATGCCCCCCAGCCTTCAGATGTGAGCTAAACAGTGCAATTGCACTTGAGATTTTAATGCTATCGATGAGAAAGTTAACTTATGATTTCCAAACTTTTAGGTCAGTTGTATGCTGCTTTGCGATCTATTAACAGAAAGGGTTGCATTACATAGGCTCAATATTTTTTACTGATGCATTTGGCAATATTCAATTCATATGCACAAAACATATAAACAAAAGCATTCACTGTGAAAGTCGATGGGCTACATGTAGGCCATTCATATATAGCTTATGCGCAGCACTTAGTTCAATTTATCGAATCAGTTATTGTTTTCTTGTGCAAACCGCCGTCAAACTCAGCCATTTCTCTCAAAACACAGGGATGTCAATTCGCACGGGACTAGTATTATCAGAGGACCTTGGAGTTCTACAAAAAACTGTAGGTTATTCTGGCTGGAATTGTTACTCTCCTGCCATGTAAAAATTACTGCCATGGCAGATTTAGAGGGGACTAAAATTACATATGTAAAACTAATCCTGCCCGAATAGGCCAAAATAGGGCCTGACCTATAGTATATCATAACCACATTAATAAATTGGTTATAACAAACTCTGAACACTGTAACACATGTGACAGCAAAATGGATGCAGAGGACATGACAAATAAACTCAAAATGGGGGAATGTTTACTGGTTGCGCAGGAGGTAAAGGGAAAGTCAGATGTGTGGAATAAATGTGACTAGTTGTGGAAAATACTGGAGATCAAGAAAAAGAAGGTAAGGAGCAAGCGCTGCGTGTGCCAATCAGGTACTGTATAAATTACAATATAATTTTCTGACCGTTTGGAACAATGTAAACAACGCTAAATAAATTATAAGCGTATCTAGAGAGTGTAAAGTTTTTTTGCTTAGCCTTTATTACAGCAAAGACTAAAAACAGTTGCATTCATTAATGTAATTTCTGAAATGGAACGGTTTATTTATTGTTTAAGCTAATTATTCAAAGCTTGCTTAATTTTTTATTTTAAAACTCAAATGGTTGATTGCATTTCAAATCATGAATGACTCCTATGCTGTGTGATGACATGAACCACTTACGACTTATTGATTGATACAGTAGCCTATATAAGTATTGAAATGTAGGCTTAAGTAAGTTACGGTATTAAGACTAAATAGGATGCACTCTTAGGCCTGCAGCTCAATGGTGGTTATACAAGGCTGCTATACTAAGCCTACTAATGATAGACATCACTTATGATCATAATAATAATAACAATAAGAAGTAGATGAAGAAAAAGGAGCGCTATTATTATTATTATAAATCTAATTTTTCGGATAATTTGGAACAGTGTAAACTACACTAAATAAATTATAAATAATACCAGAGAGACTAAGGGAAAAAAGTATAAAGCCTTTATTACAGCAAAGATTAAAAACAGCCACATTTGTGAAATTGTTTACTTGAAATGTTGTTGCGAGAGGTTTGGTGTTCACGGAATCAATAGGATATTAAACAAACAGGCAACAGAAGCAGGATCTGTCTTATTTCTGTAGATACATTGATGATTTATAAAGCCAGGCACATTTAACAGTTAGGCTATTGATTATAGACCTAATTAAGTTGTGGTTTCCTCTCCTCACTTTTCTTAGTCAATAAGGCAAGGGCTGTTTTCTCATCTCCTCATTCTGCTGCTGCCTCCGCCGCATTGTTCTCAACACCAATATGCTGATTAACTTTGCTATTATGCACATAGCAACATGGTCTAGGAAAAGGTGCCATTTCAACAGCGCACTGATGTGTTTCTGAACCGCGGACAGTGACCACTATCCAACGCGGGAGAGCGCATTTTGTTATAATATTATTTGTATTAGTGTTGCACCATTGTTCTTATGTAATATAACCATATACAATTTCAGTAGCACGTCTTAGACTGATGGACTGTGCCATCCCCACGGTCTCCACAATGGATCAGTCCACTCAGACAGGAGCCAATCAGACAGGGTTCTTGTACACCATGATCTTTTTAATTGTGCTACTGCTCGACTAAAGAAATCTCGGTCGACCAACAACCTATCGACCAAACAATCGACCAGTCGACTAAATGGTGTCAGCCCGAAAGCCATCATAGATAGGATGCATGAACTGAGCGCTCTAGTGATGGCAGACTGTCAGGCTGACTGGTCCATGTTTTTTTGTGTAATAATAAATAAAACAATTGTGGTTACACAATGGTCAATGATTATGGTCCATGTGTTTTGTGTTGTAGATCAGCAACATGAAGGTGGATCGTGAGAAGGCCTTGGAGCACAAACAGAGGATGTCCAGAATGATGGAGGACAAGGAGAACTTTGTGGGCAAAATAACCGACGCTCGCAGCTTCATCTACGAGGTGAACGCCATTTGAACATGCATGAAACCACAGATTCTAGAAGCCCATTGGCAATGGCATTAAAGAGCTATTATCAATTGCTACAAAGAAAGCAGGAGTAACCAAACAAAGTATTACCAGTGTCAATGGTGTTCTACCATTAGTTATTTTGCCAGAATTCTTTTTCATTTATTAAGAACACGCCTCAGTAAGAATGTAATGAGTTGAAAGAGTTGGCCTAAAATGTCTTTGTTCTTCTTACCTTCCAAGGAAAAACTGAAACAGTTCCAGGAGCGCCTGGTGGAGGAGAGGAAGAAGCGTCTAGAGGAGAGGAAGATCCACCGTATGGAAGATCGCCGCAACACCTTCTACCGCAATAAAGAGGAGGAGGCCCAACGCATCCACGAGGAGCAGCTCAAGAAAGGTACCTCATAGTTACCTCTCAGGCCCAGAGATGACTAGATATATAGTATGGATGTCAAATTAACTTAGATCTAGTCCTCTGAGTTTCTCTTAAAGGGTGGAATACAGGGCATAAAATGTAACTTTTTGATCCACCAGCCACTTTGGCAGGTAGATTTACAAGTCTACCAGCCAGCCAGATTTGTTACCAGCCAAAATATTATTTTTCCGCTAAAATTACACCGCAACAAAACACATATGAGCATGTTTTGTAATGTTTCTAACACAATAAACGTATTACTAGTAAGAAGTAATGTGGTATATTGTAACAAAAAAAATTGGGGGACCTGGCTTTTAACCAAAATATCACAGATGACAGAAAGTAGAAGCGTTGTCTTTTCTTCCCTAGCAGTTGAAACTCAAATATAGAAAAACAACCTAGCTTGTGAACAAAACAATGGAAATAACCAAGAAACACAAGGACAAAGTCTAACTTCAGTAGACTTTTGATTCAAGTAAATTAGACCAACTTTTATGCCTGTGCGCAGCGCTTCTAAAAATGAATCTTTCACTCAGCTCTTCACGTTCGCACAGCCCCCGCCCAGGCAGTGTTGTAGCACGAGGTGGAATAGGCTATATAGGATTCGTAGTTCTTTGACTTTGTGTGATTCATTTTCCAGCTATGAAACAAAATGGCGGAAATACTTTGAAAACAGCTACTGCAGCATTTCTTTTACTATAAATGTGATCATACTTTACTATTTTTATTTACAAATGCGAGTGAAATGCTCGCAATGTGGAGGCCTGACCTGCCACCAACGTGGCTGGTGAAATAAACATCTTACCCGCCAATGCCAAAATCTACCCGCAGGTGTTAATTTTAGGCCTTGGTGGAATAGTTGAATTGATGTCAATTGAAGATGTGTGAAAAAACTTGAGTTATGCGCACGGATTTAGGTAGGTTAGATTTTGGGTCCAATGTGTTTTTTGGTTGGCGCTTGTTCATCTGGGTGTCCCATGTGACGCTTGCCCCATAGTCTTCAGTGGTCCTGTGTTCTGAATCGACGTATTATCCATGTGTTGTTGCAGAGCGCGAGGAGCGTGAGCGCATCGAGCAGGAGGCACGCGAGGCGGAGGAGGCGGTGTACCAGGAGCGCCTTGCCAAATTGGAGGAGCAGGAGAGGAAGCAGCGCGCCCGGCAGCAGGAGATCGAGGAGCGTGAGCGCCGCAGGGAGGAGGAGATGAGGGCCCCTGCTAGGTCCGAGGAGAAACCCAGAGGAGAAACCAAGGTAGCCTACTACACATCCTGGCCAACATCTCCTCCCAGAGCAGTTTCACACAGCCTCACTTTGTCTGTTGAGTCAAAGGTGACTCGCTTTAAAGCAGTGTTAAGATCAATATATAATATTAATAAATGGGTTTTATGTAGCGCTTTTAATGGACACAAAGTCGCTTAAAAGTTTTGTTCGCTCAGTGATGATTCTCCTCCATTGATCGCTCAAAGAGCGACATGAAATTAAATGCACTTCTATTTCACCGGCGAACTGAGAGCGACAAGCACAGGCACCCGTCTGAAAGTAAAATATAGCTGTTTTTCCTCTTCACAATGTGAAGTGTCTTGACACTTTGGGTATAAAATGCGACATGAATGTAGTCCTTTACCCTGTCAACTTAGTACCCTATTAACTTAAAAATGAGCTTAGATAAAGGTTTATTGAGTAGGATAAAATGATCATAATTATCCAAATATTTGTATTATATTTTGTATATATGTTGTAAAGGTAATGAAACCCGTCACTCAGTGTTGGACACTCTTTTCCTCTCCAGGACTGGGGTGCTGAGAAGGAGGAGGGAGGAGGAGGAGGATGGAGGAGGCGTACCGAGGTTGAATCAGAGAGGCGTCGCCCCGTGCCTGATAAGTGAGTGTGATTTCATTCAGACTGTATTTTTGAAGCACTTAATCTGGTTAAAAATACTTTGTGTTCACTGGTCAAAATATTGTTTATTATTCTCTATAGTGTCGCCGTACCAGCTAAGTGAGTGGGATTTCATTCAGATTGCACATTTTAAGTATTTTACATGGTTTAAAATACTTGGTATGTTTGTGTTCACTGGTCAAAGTGACATGTCCCTATCTGTCCTATAACGGTGCTGTCCGCTCGCTCTCTCTAGGGACTGGAGAGCCGAGGGCCGCGAGGAGGGCGGCGAGGACAGAGACAGAGAGCCATCCTTCAGGAGAGGAGGAGACGGCCCTCGCCGTGGCGGAGCCGATGACCGTGGACCCCCACGCAGGGGCTTCGGGGATGACGACCGCCCCCTGCGCAGAGTCATGGACGAGGACCGTCCACCAAGGAGAGCCTTTGGGGATGATGACCGCGGTCCCAGAAGGGGAGGGGATGAGGACCGCGGTCCCCGCAGAGGCTTTGATGATGGCCCCAGGCGTGGTTTTGATGACGGCCCCCGCAGAGGCATGGATGAGTCCAGGGGCTCCAGACGCGGGGCTGATGATGACACCTGGGGCCCCAGGAGAGGAGGAGATGACGAGAGGGGCGGGCCCCTTGACGACAAGCCATGGAAGCCCGCTGTCCGACCCGGTATGGATGCGTTTTTCGTTTCATCTGTTCCAAATATGGATTATTGAATTAATGTGGTTGCATGTTTGTCTTGTGTAGTAAGTGTGTTTTCGTTGAAAGAGCCCTTGTACTTGTTCTCCTATAGTTCTGTTCATTATTTATTGAACTTTATTGAACCAGTTCTTCTCACACGTTGTGCTGGATCATGGGCAGTTGCTCTGGTGTCTGCTTCAGGTGGTGGCTGGCGTGAGAGGGAAAAGGCCCGCGAGGAGAGCTGGGGTCCACCCCGCGAAGGTGGCGGCCGCAAGGAGGGCGAAGAGGGCGAGAGGGAGGAGAGAGAGGAAAAACAGGAGAGCGACCGCTTTCCAGAGCGCCGCCCACCCAGGTCAGACACACAGTAGGTGGACTACAAACAGCACTACTGTGATATGGAGGCTCATATAGCATATGATCAGGAGTGGCCCTAAACGGGTGGATGGTTTTACTGATACTGTGAAAATAAGGTAGTCATACATGTGTGTTATGGCGAGGTGTAGCTCAGTTGGTAGAGCATGGCGTTTGCAAAAATGTGTGCACTCACTAACTGTAAGTCGCTCTGGATAAGAGTGTCTGCTAAATGACTAAAATGTAAATGTGTAGGTTTTTTTTATGGAGTAATTCGGGGACCTCTGTTTTCAGGGAGGAGGGTGGTGGAGGTGGTGGTGCCTGGAGAAGGCCAGGTGCTGATGAGGCGCCCAAGAAAAGCTGGAGAGACTCTGTTCGTCAGGAAGAGCCTGACCGCGAGGACCGCCCTACTATCCGTCGAGAGCGACCTGATCGCAGGGACGACCATCCCCCGCCCAGCAGAGAGCCTGAAGAAGGTAAGACGAGCCTGCTCAGTCCTCTGCAGACACGTTTAAAGTTTTGCAAAAAGCTTTTATTTTAAACCATTTAGCCAGCAGGTGTCCCCACTTGCTCTGTATTCATTGCAAGCGTCAACCGGTATCAAGCATCAACCTGTTAATGCAGCAATACTCTATCATTCATTGCCATACCATGAAAATCGAGTCTACTGTAACCCCTGTCCTGTGGCAGTATTTCCAATCTGGAGGAGGTCTTTTTAAACAACACTTAGTTAAGATGCCATCCCCTAACGAGACGGGGTTCTGTGCACACAGGAGGAGGCTCTTGGCGCCGTGCCGGTGACGACAAGCGTGAGGAGCGTAAAGAGGAACGTCCGACTCCCCCCAGACCCAGAGAGGGCGAGCATGACGAGGACGGAGAGAAGAGCTCCTGGCGCTCCGAGAAAGACAAAGAGAACGCTGGTCGTGCCAAGAAGACCACCGACGAGACCGACGATGACGGCTGGACCACTGTGGCCCGCCGCTGAGTCCACCCGCTCTCTAAGCATCTGCTTCAAAATAGCCCCACTGGCTAATGTACCCCTTATTGCCGCCAGCCTCTTAGTGGTTTAACCTTGGCATAAGTTTATTAAAACGTTGGCATAGCAAAGCTGTTTAATTGTTAAATCAAATGTGTCATCTTATCAACAACTATCTCTTGCCATTGAATATGTATTTTGTTAAAGTGGCTTCTTAACCTAAAAACGAGTTGATTCCCATGTTGATGTGCATTCTTAGAGTAACTACACTGAACCAAAATATAAACACAACATGTAAAGTGTTGGTTTCATGAGCTGAAATAAAAAATCCCAGACATTTTCCATATGCACAAGAAGCTTATTTCTCAATTTTTTGGCACAAATTTGTTTATATCCCTGTTAGTGAGCATTTCTCCTTTGCAAAGATAATCCATCCACCTGACAGGTGTGGCATATCAAGAAGCTGATTAAACAGCATGATCATTACACAGGTGCATCTTGTGCTGGGGACGAAAGGCCACTTTAAAATGTGCAGTTTTGTCACAGAATACAATGCCACAGATGTCTCATGTTTTGAGGGAGCGTACAATTGGCATGCTGACTGCAGGAATTACCACCAGAGCTGTTGCCAGAGAATTGAATGTTCATTTCTCTACCATAAGCTGCTTCCAACGTTGTTTTAGAGAATTTGGCAGGATGTCCAACCGGCCTCACATCCACAGACCACGTGCAACCACGCCAGCACAGGACCTCCACATCCGTCTTCTTCACCTGCGGGCACCTGCGGGGGAGGGGGGGTGTATGTCTGTAATAAAGCCTTTTTGTGGGTAAAAACTAATTCTGATTGGCTGGGACTGGCTCCCCAGTGGGTGAGCCTGGCTGCGAAGTGGGCCCTCCCAGGCCCACCCATGGCTTCACCCCTGCCCAGGCATGTGAAAGCCATAGTTTAAAGCCTAATGAATGTATTGCATTTGACTGATTTCCGTAAATGAACTGTAACTCAGTAAAATCTTTGAAATTGTTGATGTTGCGTTTTATATTTTTGTTCAGTATAATTGGTCTCACTCAATATCTAGTGTGTGGTTCTATCTTAAATCATTCAACCATATTGCATGTTTATAGATAAAGCCTTTCTTTATAAAGTACTTTGCGCAACAGTTTATTTCTCTGTGAAGGCTGAAGGGGTGGTTAGTGCATAGCTAGCAGCTGCTTTGTAGAGCTTTTCTTACACTTGGTCCTTTTTAAATGATGGGCAAGATTCATGATTTCCCTTCTAAGACACACGTTTTAATAACTTTTGGGTCTTTACTTGGCTGCATCAATAGTGGCTTTAAAGCCACACTGTACTGTGCATACCATCAAAGTGTGGGTCATTTTGAGACCCAACTGTCAGGTGATTTCCATATCTGTAATGTTCAAGGAGTGACATTCCATGAGTGCTTTCTACATGATTTGAAGCGTTGCTTCATTTGTTTATAAATCAATGGGGTAACAGGTCTTAAACAAATTTATATGGTAAGTCCGTTGCTCTATTAAATCCCATTAATATCCTTCAAAATGAAGGCGTAGGCAATGGATGCGTTCTGATTCTCAACCCTTCACCCACAAGTGTACACGTTCACGCACCCTCGTGCATTTAACCCAATGAGTCCCACCATAAAGCTGGCAGGTTTTAGACTTCTAACCCCTTTTAAGCATTGTTTGAGCTACAGACTTCTGGGTTGTACCATTGGATTTCTCTATTTTTTCTGCATCCGTAGATAAACCATTTGTCTGTAATGGGGGCTGAGCTAGAGCAGTGTTTGTGAGGTGAGAGCAGGGCCCGGGACCGTGTCTTTCATACAAAAACCTCTGTAGAGTCAGAATGGTTCGAGCTACAAACTATTAAAAGCTATCTATGAAAAGCTGAGACTCTCACTAACTTGCATGTGACATGTTTTGCTCTATGACGCTCACAAGTTACAGAAGTTAGAAGGTAAGCGGGTCTTCTATATAGATCATAGGAAATCCCAGGACAGAGTGTCTATAATACTGTAATAAGCTCACATAGTTGCTGTCACAAACTCCACACAGTTGTCATTGACTAGTTGGATATTCATTTCTCAGTGAGCAAATAATTTATGTACTTACAGCATTCATATAACTTCATTTTGATCAGGCTTTTCCTTTGGCGGACCTTAATCTTTTATTGACGTTTGTCAATAAAAGTCATGAATGCAACTATCAAATTGTTTTGTGTTCTACTTGTAGCCCTGGTTGTCTTGAAATTAAAATGGTAAAACACTTAATTGTGAGGCTAAATATAAGGGCTGGATAAATTAAAGACAGATAAATGAAAAGCCGATTTTTGCTGGAATCTCGGTACTGATAGGGTTACACCCTTGGATTCGTGTGTGCATGGCTGGAAGGAGTTTCCACCATATTTCTTACAGCAGTCCATTCCTTTTAAATCCATAAGGGGGAGTGAAGGCTAGAGAATTGCATTTCATCTTATATCTCAATTGAAATAGCTGAAAATCTTAAATCCAGAGTTTAGTTCATTTGTTAAAAAGTTGTTCCCTGTTAGTTTTAATTCTCTGTAGGGGAAATACATGTTTCTACTTGAGAATGTAAAAAATTAGTAACAAAGCTCTTTGTGGGTTTATGTAGCCTAGGCTGGCTATACAATTATGTAGGCATAGGCTATGTAACAAACGGTTCAATCATCTCCCAGTCCCATCCCCCTTGAGTGTAGGCCTACTCGTTTGACCTTTGGATTCTATCCATAAGCATGTGTAAAGAACCTACGATTGGTTTCACTTCGAATCTTACATTTTCATGCAACCAGTCATTGCCCCTTCTTTACGTGTCCTATTAACTTAACTACCCAAAACACAACAATCACCCTCATTAGTTCGATAGACCTTATTGCAAATGTTTGTGTGATTTTGGATCTTAGGCCTATTTGATATATTATTGGTGGGCCAACCGTGATGAGTCTGAAATGCGTGTAGATTATGCCCCAAAGGGATAACCAAAATATGTTATATTATTTTGCCACCATGGAAGGAAGCTATTTGCAGTGATCTCTGCAAGGAATGGGCTAAAACTATTTCCTCTCCTCTTGAGGTATTGAAATGCAGTTGTGTTTGAAGCAAAGCCATGTAAAGTAGCTACATAGCCTATATCAGAAAGGCCTCGGTGAGGTATAAATACAATACGAAAAAAGCTACAAATACAATTAATAAAATATAGGCCTAATGTAGTTTTCAAGATTGTTTGAGATATGCTGCAGCATTCAAAGGGCTGTCAAATGCAGAAAGATTATTCAGTTGCGTACCCATCTGTTGTTGTTTTTTTCTTTTAAAATAATATTAACTTTATGGGAACTGGGGAAACTGTTTTTCATGTCAATTTAAAAGGAGTCGGTTAACACGGTAGTCTGAAAAATCAGGTGGGATATGTCGACACACAGTCACACACTCACATATATACTTACACCTTCAGTTTCGTAAGCCACGGCCGATTAAAATGTACAATATTAGGGCTATGATTATGAAAATTTGTTTTGTTGTTGTTGCCAGAATTAGTTCGCGAAAGTGTAACAGAGTGCAAATGATATGATATAGCGTATTAGTTTTACATGTAGCCTGTAGAAAAATGTATAATTCATAGGCTATAGGCATACTAGTCCTACTTTACACAGCTTATCATTCGACAATATTTTACGCGTAGTTATTTTTTCAATAGTCATTATGCAAAAATATTGGATCTATAATAGTTTGTAGGAATTATTCTGCCTCAACAGCTATTTTCATCCGTTTCAATTTGATGAACATGGAAAAATATTATATTACTATATTAGCTTACTATATTAGATATGTCAATGCATCGTAGCCTATGTTGTGACTTAACAATCGATAACTTTATTATTTTAGGGGAATAGTTTGAAGGCTAGCCTAGGCCTACTATGTGAAATTCTTCATCTTTACACATCATTATGGGAATTAAATGGGCTTATATCAGAAATGTACAGTGCCTTCAGAAGATATTCACACCCCTTAACTTTTTCCACATTTTCTGTGTTACAGCCTGAATTTAAAATGGATTCAATTGTAATTTTTTACATTATTTTTTTTAATGACTATTTCGTCTCTGTACCCCACACATACAATAATCTGTAAGGTCCCTCAGCCAAGCAGTGAATTTCAAACAAAGAGTCAACCAAAAAGACCAAGGAGGTTTTCGAATGCTTCGCAAAGAAGGGCACCTATTGGTAGATGGGTGAAACATAATTTTTTTAAATAAGCAGATATTGAATATCCCTTTGCGCATGGTGAAGTTATTAATTAGACTTCGGATGGCGTATCAATACACCCAGTCACTACAAAGATGCAGGCACCCTTCGAAGAACTAAACCACTCAGGGATTTCACCATGAGGCCAATGTTGACTTTAAAACAGTTACAGAGTTTAATGGCTGTGATAGAAGAAAACTGAGGATGGATCAACAACATTGTAGTTACTCCACAATACTAACCTAACTGACAGAGTGAAAAGAAGGAATCTTGTACAGAATATTCCAAAACATGCATCTTGTTTGCAACAAGGCACTAAAGTAATACTGCAAAAAATGTGGCAAAGCAATTAACTTTTTGTCCTGAATACAAAGTGTTATGTTTGGGGTAAATCCAGTACAACACATTACTGAGTACCACTCTCCATAGTTTCAAGCATAGTGGTGGCTGCATCATGTTATGGGTATGCTTGTAATTGGTAAGGACTGGGGAGTTTTTCCAGATAAAAAGAAACGGAATGGAGCTAAGCACAGGCAAAATCCTAGAGGAAAACCTGGTTCAGTCTGCTTTCCACCAGACACTGAGAGATGAATTCACCTTTCAGCAGGACAATAACCTAAAACACAAGGCCAAATCTACACTAGGGTTGCTTACCAAGAAGACAATGAATGTTTCTGAGTGGCCAAATTACAGTTTAGACTTAAATCTACTTGAAAATCTATGGCAAGACCTGAAAATGGTTGTCTAGCAATGTTCAATAACCAATTTGATAGAGCTTGAAGAATGTTGAAAATAATAATGGGCAAATATTGCACAATCCAGGTGTGGAAAGCTCTTAGAGAATTACCTAGAAAGAGTCACAGCTGTAATCGCTGCCAAAGGTGATTCTAACATGTATTGTCTCAGTGTGTTGAATACTTATCTAATGAAGATATATTAGTGTTTTATTTTTCTTCATTTTAAAAAAAATACAGATGTTAGAATTTTTCTTCCACTTTGACATTACAGAGTATTTTGTGCAGAATGTTGACAAATAAATGACAATTAAATCAATTTGAATCCCACTTTGTAACACAACAAAATGTGGAAAAAGTCAAAGGGTGTGAATACTTTCTGATAGCACTATACAAAGCGATGACAGGATATGTTTCTCGATGAGGACAATTCCGAAGACATAGTTCAATTTTTCTCACTTTCTTGTTGTTTCCTGTAACTGAAATTAACACATTTAAAGCGTTAGCAAAGAATAGTTAGGCTACAACATTTTAATAACGGATGTAAAAGCCTACTAATAATTCCACCACACTTTCACAAGATGTCCACCGGAGGCCGGCAGCGCACCATGGCTGAATATTGGTCAAAACCATAGAGAATGATAGAGGACTCTTGTTTGTATCTGTCCGATTAATGGCATCTGTGAGAGTACCTGCAGCACCTTTGAGGCCATCTCCATTTTTTAAGTAGTCAATTTGTTTATTCTACTACTTCTATGAGTTGGTAAAGAAACTGCCTCCTGCAGTGTGTTGTTTGAACAGGTATAAAGCCAAGGTTGGCGATTTCTCATCGACACGGCTGTAGTCGAGCGGGTCGAGAGCTTCAAGTTCCTCGGTGTCCACATCACTAAGGATCCATCATGGTCTGCACACACCCACACAGTTGTGAAGAGGGCACGACAATGCCTCTTCCCCCTCAGGAGGCTGAAAATATTTTGCATGGGCACTCACAGCCTCAAAAAGTTCTACACCATGCACCATTGAGAGCATCTTGACTGGCTGCATCACCGATTGGTATGGCAACTGCTTGGCAACCGACCACAAGGCTCTACAGAGGGTAGTGCGTACAGCCCAGTACATCACTGGGGCTGAGCTCCCTGCCATCCAGGACCTCTATACCAGGTGGTGTCAGAGGAAGGCACAAAAAACAGTCAAAGACTCCAGCCACCCAAGTCATAGACTTTTCTGTCTGCTACCGCACAGCAAGCAGTACCGATGCACCAAGTCTCGAACCAACCGGACCCTGAACAGATTCAACTCCCAAGCCATAAGACTGTAAATAGTTAGCTCGGGTAGCTATTTGGATAACTATTTAACTATCTGCATTGACCCTTTTTGCACTAACTTTTATTGACTCATCACATACGCTGCTGCTACTGTTTATTATAGGTCACTTCATTCCTAGTTATTTGTACATATCTACCTCAATTACCTCATACCCATGCACATGCACATCGTCTCGGTACTGGTATCCTTGTATATAGCCAAGTTATCATTACTCATTGTGTATTTATTATTACTTTTATTATGACGTGTTTTACTTTTCTATTATTTCTCTATTTTCTTTCTCTCTGCATTGCTGGGAAGGGCCCATAAATAAGCATTTCACGGTTAGTCTACTCCTATTGTTCACAAAGCATGTGATTAATAAAATGTTATTTGATTTACTGCCACCTGTCCTTATGGAATGTTTGCTCACAAGTATAAATCATTGGATGATCCCCCCTTGATGACCCGGATGGAATTATGTGATCCTTCCTTAACGCTTAGGAAGTCCCACCCACTTGACTACTTGAAAATGGCGAAAGTAGTCAATGGTGCTGCTCATGCTATAAAACAAGCTTTTGGGTACTAGAGTCCTCTATCTATCTCTATGGCTTCGAACCATCCGTCATGGATGCTTGAAAAAAATAAAAGGTGAGTTTTTCATAATAATCTAGGACTATACAAACAGATATGCAACGGGAAAAAAACTGCAACTAAAAAAAATCTATGATAAACAAACGATTTTCCGCATAAGTACATACTTTGCATTGACAAGGCTACCAGTAGGTGACGCAGTTTTGAACAGCTAGCCTACTAAACCTACACCCATGAGAAACTCTCTTTCATCCCCGATTCATTGAATGGATTCCAATAATAAATAATCCAAAGAATGAGACCAGTGTAATATAAGGGGATCTTGCTAGCTATATTGTTAACAATGTTTTGATTTATTTACATCTCAGCATCAATTCACTAAAGTAGGTCTAACTGAGTAGACCTACATTTATTCGTTACTACATAAATAAGGGCATGTGGCCTATTGATATTATTAGGCTATTAATGTTATCATTTCTGTAACAATAATCCTGATGAACTGATAATAATAATAATAATAATAATAATAATAGTAATATTTTTTGTTATTTTATTATCACTAAATAACCCCAATATTCTGCCTTAGTGCTGTAGGAGATGCATTAGCCTACTGTTTATCAGTCTGTAACTGCAAAACGCCAGTTTCCTCATTGAGTAATGCAGCCCAATATGATATATAGGCTATCTGATGCCTGGAGTATGCCAGACAGTGTGTTGCTGTTGGGCTGCACAAAGAAGCAGCAAGCTGCACTGGGTACAGAAAAGGGCAAGCAAGATAATAACAAAAAACTGAGACATCCCACTGACCCTTCCACCACTACAGTCACGGAGAGAGCAAGCAGCAGTAAGATTGGTCACTGCCATGCACCAACCTGACCACCCTCCACATGATCTCCTACCACAGAGAAGGGGAGACGGTATTGGCAGAGTCCTCTGAAACCAGAACCGACTGTCCAAAATCAACGCAAGGACAAAAAGGCTGGACAATTCTACAATAGCCACTGCCATCAGACTTTTGTGAATTTTTAAACTGTCATTTTTTTATTCAATGTAATATCTTTTTTTAATTTTTTTATATTGTCTAAATGCCACTGTGCATTCTGCAAAATTTAGTATTGTGGACTGCGAGCATTAATTAAATAAATCAAATCAGGGCTACAGCAGATAAAATGTAAATCATAAGCACAGGACGTTTTCAAAGACATATGGGACTTTTTTAATTGAATGCAATATCTTGTGTTTTTTTTTTGTATTGTCTAAATGTAACTGTGCATTCTGCAAAATTCAGTTTTGTGGACTGCGAGCATTAATTAAATAAATCAAATCAGGGCTACAGCAGATCAAATGTAAATCATATGCACAGGACGTTTTCAAATTACTACGCAAGGAGACAATGGCCTACAATGGTGCAATGTTGTAAGATCAATGTGCAACACAAACGCTTATTGGGGTTATAATTGATTAAAATAACACAATGCTTGCTGACTTCAGTTAAGTTTTCATCATCCCAGTTTTCAGGTACAAGTCATGGCTAGCTAACATGCTATCATTAGCCCGACTTGGCAATATAGCCTACAAGAGGTGTCCCGATGTAAAATTTGTTCAACTGAAGTCAACCTTCGATATCTTTCTTATATATTTTTAAGTAAATCTTAGATTTAATTTACAAAAGTGTAACCTTGTCATAATATGAATAGGCCTAATTAATAATCGTAATCATATATTTTTTTTAATGGATTTGTTGTCCATTCATAATAATTGTACCATCAATGACATGGGCTTGTAGTAATGCAGGAGGGATTGGCCTCGTAGATCTAAACAGCAGAACATCGCAAATTAAGTTAAACTACAGAGACTCATAGCCAAGGGCAGATTTGGACTCATACCCCGATAGCATTTTCTTATAGCCTACTTGTGGTTGAATCATAGATCCCCGAAGATGGGCATCATAATAATGACAATGAGTAAAAACCTACAGTTAAATGAAAGAAAAACAGAGTTATCTTATCCCAACAGAGCTCATTTATTGGATTAAGAAAACCCTCATGCGCATTTTCATGGAATTCAGCAATAGCGAAATAATGAAGATATCACTAAGACATGTAGGCCTATTGCGGTAGTAGGCTATAGATTACGGGTGGTTTTATTATGACGGTACAGACATTTGTGCTAAATTAATGATAAAATGAAAGGCATACCAAATATATTTCTAAACTCGTGCGTGTGTATAGGCCTATATCTTCCTATGCACTTTGTAAACCTCAAATTACAAATTATAAACCTTTCATCAGTGAATGCTTGACTTGCATGGAGCAGGAATTAGCCTACACAAAAAGTTGTATGTAGGGTAATTTCGGAAGGCCTAAATGAATGGGTCGTTTATATGTCAATACAACAATACAACAAACCAACTGCACTGAACATCCTGTGGATCCAATATTCTGGCCAATAGAAAGTGGGGAGCCTTCAACCCCTAACTAATCACAAACTGATCGGAGAAAATGAAAACACGGAGAGAGGAGGCCAGGGTATGTAATGGGGTATGCTGTAATTATCATAATAATGGAAAATATACATTAAATATAAGGTAGGCCTAAATGTAAAATACATTTTATACTAAGAACGTATCACACTTATGTCAAAGAATGTTAAACCGACTCCTAGCCCTATACTTCAACATAAAAATCAACACTGATAAACATAAAGGCCCCTTTAAGACCAACTGTCCTCAGGCCTTATCGGTAGACATAAATGCAAACGTAAGTACCTTGAGCTTTTCTACTGGTTCAGCTGAGTAGCCTATGTAAAAATGTTCTGAAGATCTGGTTCTGAACGAATCCGTTCCGTTTTGCTCGAGTCCGCCTCTCCGTGCCTGTTCCCATTGACGCACGTAAAGACTCTTCCCTCAACCTTAAGGCGAGTAGCAGCGACCAATCACCATGCCATTACAGGCTTCAGAGGAAGCTGTTTATGTGACTCCAGCGCTAATTAGGCTCATGAACTAACAAATCGCTTGCACAACTGGTGAGGAACCGATCACATCCATGGATTGTCTGGCGCAGTTGACCACCTTTATGGCTATTTGTTGATTTGTTGTTACTTTGGCTTCTATTCTTGCTGCACTCTTCGTTCCAAAGTTATTTATGCTGACAAACTTTCTCGGTGTGGAGTAGTAACCTATTTTTACGAAGAACGCCTGCACCTCTTAAACTCTAAGCTGGGGAATATTGACTATCAAACCATGTTTCAACCTACACCGAAGAGGTGTTTTACTATAGAATCGTTGGTAGCGAAGGATAATCCTCTACCAGTGTCTAGGTCTGAGGAGCCCATACGACCAGCGGCTCTGAGCTATGCAAACTCCAGCCAGATGAATCCATTTCTGAACGGGTTTCATTCCAGCGGCAGGGGCGTCTACTCTAATCCGGACTTTGTGTTCGCTGAGGCGGTCTCACATCAGAACAACTCCGGTGTCCCAGTTCATTCGGTGCCACCTCCACATGCTTTGGCTCACCCACTTTCATCCTCACACAGTCCGCACCATCTTTTTGCCAGCCAGCAAAGGGACCCCTCAACTTTTTACCCATGGTTAATACATAGATATAGGTACTTGGGTCACAGATTCCAAGGTAGGTTGAAGTTAAATTAGTCTCTAACGCATTTATTACGTATTTATGCTGTTTAGCCCTTTTGGATGTTCCATAGCATTTCTGTAGACCAATATAAAATGTAATTATGAGAATAAAGAAACGAATGCTAAATATCAGTGAGCTATCGAATTTTGGAAATATATGGGCTATCGCCATGTCTGGAACAGTTTTAGAAACTGTTTTTGTCTGTTATAATTAGAACACTGTTCAACTGGAATAGACTAGCGGACTTTTAGTAGCCTAATGTAGGGCATAGTATTTCTCAATGTGGCGACACGGGTTCACATTTATTTTGCTGGTAGCCTATAGCCTATAATTTTACATTTTGTTAAAAAAGGAATTGCAAAGAGTGTACTTTTAAAAAGTCCGTTTGCATCTAAAACAGTTAAATGAAACAAAAAGAAGCATAAAACCTTACAACTGGAATGTGTAGGCCTATATAATTAATTGGCTTGTTATTTTGAATAAAATGGTTGAAAAATAATGATTTAATTAGACCTAGTTATTTACTTCATTTTCACTTCAATCTTCTTATATTTAACCTGAATGCAAATCAACTTAACTACATTGATAGATGCCCGTGTAATTTATTGCAATCATCTGTGCCAAGGAATAGGCTATGGGTCGTATTTGTGGGCTATGCTTTTATAGCCCAAACTGCTGTTTAAGAAATTGTACACAATGCACTTTTAAAAATCGCACTATTCATTTATCTGCCCCCAAATTGGACTGCCATTTTAAAACGTTATATTTTTTTGCTGATGGATGCACATAATCTTTTCCTGAAAACAGTGACATGCAAATGGTATAATAACTGAACGATCTTTTTTCGTTTGGAACGAATAATAGTTATTTTAATTGTAAGGGTCTTGATAATAATTATGACAAAATTTTATTCTCCACCATATACTTACATTGTACCAGTGACTGTAGGCTAATGTAACAAATATAAGTTCGAAAAGGGTTAGCCTATAGAGGCTTCTAGGCCACTTTGCGATTGTAGACCATTGTGTTGCTATTTTTGTAGGCCTAGTGTTTTTAGTATTACCAAAGACTGTATCAAAACGGCACTTAATTTAGCCACTGCATAGCCCTGTTGTTGCCATTTGAAGAATATAAACTGTATCAATTTGCTATTGTTACAATTATTGCAAAAAATTGTCAAGGTGTTGCTTATGACTAAATTGGTCTCAATGTTCAATTGAGTGTTGCCGTAGACTTTAGTTAAAAGTTAAAGGCCCAAGTCTGCGGTATAGCCAAAATATGAGCATAGCATCATCTTCTCTTTAGCCTCAGTTTGCAACATAAGAGTGGTCATAATTAATATCCCTCCCATTGTCGTTTTCAGGTAACGAAACAAGCCCGGAGAGCTTCCTTTTGCACAATGCACTGGCCAGAAAGCCCAAAAGAATTCGGACAGCTTTTTCCCCTTCGCAACTTCTGCGGCTTGAGCACGCGTTTGAAAAAAACCATTACGTCGTAGGTGCCGAACGAAAACAGCTTGCGCACACCCTTAGCCTCACAGAAACTCAGGTAAGAAAATGAATTGAATATTCACAAGTTTATCGTTAAATCCGCATTAGGCCTACTTTGAATAGGGAATGGATTTAAAAGATGATCATGTCAAGTTGCATCAGACCTGACATGACGCACAGGTTTGTGGGGTGTTTTTCAAGGGGTGTTTATAGCCTGTAGGCCTACCTATTTTAGGCTATAGGACAACAATAGCCTACTTGTTTTGGTGTTGGATACGGAATCTGTGAATATGCTACATTTTCTTTGAATAGGCTAATTACTTATTGGGAATTCATATGCTTGCCTATAAGTGACATTACGGGAATTATTAAACATTTCTTGAAAACACGACAGTGTGTTGTCTATTGGGGGAAACTGCACACATGCTATGGTTAATCCGTATAGCAAGTCAAATTTATGAATTTCACATGCAGGCCTAAATGCTATTCTAGTTTAAGAATTGAAATGAAGGGGGGAAACCGACAGAAATGAAAACACAAGTTTATTCATTTTTCAAAGTTAGGCCTACTATTGGATTGACCTGTAAACCCACAGTTTCAGAGAGACAAAATAATAAATGTATACACCACCATCGGCCTTGAGGCTTTTAGTTGGATCAAATCCATGATCATTGTACAACCTCGTTGGGTTGAATTACTTTGTTTTGGGAGAAAAAGGTTTCCATTCAACATGGAGGTTATTTAACCAGTTAACCATTTCATAGGATCTATGGCACGCTAAAAAGAATGAGCAGGACTCCATGAATTTCCCTGGCCACATTTAAGATCGTATTTGTGCCTGTCAGCTTGTGGAACGGTCGGTGTCTTTTGTCCCAGTGTCACCACCGGCTCTTCTCTAAACGGAGGTTTTCAGAGGGGAATGAGGGAGAAATTAACCATCACCCACTTCAATTAGCTGACTGAAAGCACATTAAATGCACCTCACTTGCCAAGCTGTCAGACGGATGGCTTGTATATATTAATATTGCCCACTAGCCTATTGATACGCATTTACAAAAGGCTTAAAATTAACAAGCAATGTGGCTTTTAAATTTTTTGGGAAATTATTAGAAATTAAATTAAACTTATTTAGAATGCGTTGCATATTCATGAGCCTATTTGCACCAGTTTTTTTTTGTTCGACCAAGGGGACGTCCATTTCTGGTAATTGGCTTATGTTTGTAATATAAAAATAGAGGAGGCACTACATGCAGTTTTTGACCAAGGCTATATCCCATCTTAAAATAACCGTACTTCTAGCCTAACTTGTAAGACCTTTTGGGCCTATAGCATTGGGCAGATTTTCACACGGCGATCTATGAGAGCCTATGCAAAAATGTAAGGCCTTTGCACTCCTAGTGTAGCCTATGCTTGTATCTCTTTTGCAGTTCTGCTATTTGAATTCTCACTTTACGCACATGAATGGATTTTGTTTAGTATTTTGGTATTTATTGTGGCCTTTATTTATTTCCCTTAGGTAAAAGTGTGGTTTCAGAACCGAAGAACCAAGTTCAAGCGGCAAAAGTTGGAGGAGGAGGGTTCAGATTCGCAACAGAAGAAGAAGGGGACCCATCACATAAACCGATGGAGACTCGCAACTAAACAAGGATCGGGAAGCCCGGATGAAATTGATGTAACTTCAGACGATTAAAATACTAAATTGTTTGAACCTGGGACATCCGTGTGCCGTGAAGGATGACATGGCTAAGGATGCTGTGTACAGAGAGACAGAGAGAGGGTAAAGCCAATGTCACATTTCGATTCTTCGGAGATCGGCAGCTGAGGGTGAGAGATCCGATTGTTGGCACTGCTGTCACTAACATGGGTCTGTCAAACCATATCAAATTGCCCAGGCAAAAGTGATTGACAGTATCGCAGTCCAACTACCTGACCCCCTTCCACGCACCAACCCACCACTACAATCTCCCACGAACCACCCAAAAATTAATCTCCAATTCACATTGGACATTTGCACTTCTGAAAGTTTCTAAATATGAACGTTTCCACTCAAGATACCAAAATCCACAACTGTTTTTGTAAAACTTAAATTGCATGGTAGACTTTCTGGTAGTTGTTTTAATTTGATAATTTTCTCAAAAACAACTTTGTTTTAACTCTATTTTCAATCTCAGAGATGTTGTGCTTCTTCCTTTTTACAAAGTGTGCAGTCTTTTAATTAATGATTATCGTGTTAAAGTGATTGTGAAAACAGTATGAAGTAGCAGTGCTGCGTTATAGTGTTTTTAAAGAAAATGCATTACGAAAACTTTATAAAAGTTTATCAAACCACAGATAAAGTACTTAAAGGGAAAGTATCCAGGACATTCCTTAAACCTAAAGCTTTACCATGTCTCCGTTATTCTGTCCCGAGCATATTGTCAGGACTTGACCCTCCGGTGAGAGTTGCCACAAAGGACTAATGCAAGAATTGACTGCCGTAGAGGCGAGAAAACGTCAAGCACTGAGCGTATCCATGTACAGAGATACTAAAAGTTAATGTTTCTGTTAAACCCTCTTTTACCAGAATGTAAATAATTTTGTGTTTGTGTTAAGTTTGCTACAATTTTAACACAAAGTATACTTCCAAGAAGTATGTAATTGTCAATATTTTGTCAATAAAGTTTTATCAATATGTTGCGCGCGGAGTAAAAGTAGGGTTTGATTTAAGATCAGCTTTCATTTCTTGACATTTTATAAAGAGACCTGTTACGCCCTTCAATTCAAGCCTGTATTATTTCACACTTTTTATAGGCTATTGGCTGCCACCAATCACCCGCTTCGTATATCTTGATTTTGGTCAAACCAGTCTCACAATTAGCCTACACTTGAGGTAGGCCTATGACTCATTTTAGAAGGAATCCAGACAATGTGGGTTGTTAAAAGTAACATAAATCATGCTATTACGAGAAAATGCAAGATTATTTTTCTGTGGCAAGTGCATGGTTGTTTTTCCGGTGGTTCATTTGCTCCTCAGTCTGATAGACTGCATTAATCCGTTTTTATTTAGAGGGGCAGCGTCTGGTCTGCTCAGGCTACAAAGAGTCCTACGAGCTTTTGTGAAAGTGCAAATCAGTTTAGGCAATTATCATGCGAGTAATATGAGGGGGAAAGGGGATGCATTGCCCAGTGGTCCACTTTAATCTCTTAATCCGTGGATCCAAGGGGGCTTGGTTGGACATAATTTAGTACAATCTGACTACCCCTCACGAAGCGATAAGGGAAGGTTGCAATGTGCAGCGAAATGAGATCTTTGTTTAAAATCTTGTCTCTCCGACAGCCACGAGTAGGATATGCCTACACGCGCGCTTCACACAAATTGATCATAAACAAAACAGCATCAACCCATGCATACTCTTTTCCCATTTCATGTGTAGCCTATTACGCTTGTACGGGCAAAAAGAAAAGTATATTATTATTATTATTATTATTTTATTTTTTACATCTAAGAACTTTATAGACCAACATCTTTCTTTATAAGTGACTCAAACATTTTATTCTGTATTTGTTCAGGGAAGACCCATTGACACCAAGGTCTCATTCACAAGGGTGCCCTGATCACAGTAACACAATCAAATACAATATAGAAACAAAACAGCCATCGATACAATGTAAAATTAAATAAAAAAATACAGCACAACACAATTTAAGAAAAACTGTTACATTCCACAGCTACTTGTCCTCAATACTTTAAATTGCCAGAGCGGCACCAGAACATCCAATTGTAATGAGTTTTGTAAATGGTTTGAGTAGTGAGGTGCATTAAAACTAAGAAAGGATTTACCTAATTCGGTGGAGACCAGAGGAACCTCAAGAATTAACCAACTCTGTGAAAGGGTTTGGTATCTCATGTTTTTATACTTCAACAACGAAGTTAGGTAAGTCGGAAGCTTGTGTAGTATTGCTTTGTAAACAAAAAGGGAATATTGAAGTGACCTACAGGACTTTAATGAGGACCAGCCAACCTTTTGAAACAGGATGCAGTGATGAGTATTAAAACTGTCCCCTGTGATAAAGCGAAGGGCGCTATGGTAGACAGCATCCAAAGGTTTAAGAGCAGTGGCTGCTGCATTCTGGTAACTGGTGTCACCATAGTCAAGAACTCTCTGGAAAGTTGACTGTACAATCTGCTTCCTGCTGTTTAGAGAGAGGCAAGATCTTTAAATCTTAGCTTTTCAACTAGCTCATCAGTATGTTTTTTTAAAACATTAAATCCTTGCCAATCCAAGTGCCCATGTATTTATAGGCGGGAACCCGATCAGTGGGAAAACCATTCAATAAAAAAAAATGTGGTCCAATGCACATGGGAAAAATGCACATAAAATTGTTTTAAATGTTGCAAAATTAAACTGTATTATATTTACACTATGTATCTCCTAAACATGTGAAGTCCCACCATGCACATTGTATGATGTGAGGTGTAGTGTTTATTTCTATAATTGTTTCACATCTTGAAAAGGAGCTTTTCAGAGGGGGTGGTGTGGGGGGCTATAGGCCTACATACAAACTATAGTCCCCATATATGGATGGGGAATTTTAATCGGCACATGGACTATAACAGCAATAAAAATCTTCAGAGAATACCATTAGCTTTGAAAAAACCTTAAAAGCTTTATTACAAACCCAGCTTTGAAATAGGGGGATTAGAGGGCTGAAAGGGTCCCACAATAGTTAGAAGAAAAGGTTTCATGCTAATGAGGTTAATGCCCTTTGTATCTCCGGACTCCACAACTTCATTACTCCTATCTCGGGCAACACCGAGCGGCTCCAGAGCGCGCAATCCACTCGAGCTTTCCCCTACCCTGCCTAAAGAAGGATTTGATAGCAGTCCTGTTCAAACTAGATAATTATATATTTTCAAGTTGGAATTAAGATAAAGAAAGTGAAGGCGGTGAGCCTTGATCCGCTGCAAACAAATTTGGCGCACTTTCTCCCTCCGCGGTGCCTCAATAGGCAGGACAGCCCCCTCATTATGACTGGGTCTCGTTTTATTAATTGTACACTCTTTTGATTTAAACGAGCCAGTATTTTGAATTTAATGGCAGATTATTGTATACAACGAAATTAAATAAATGTTATAATGATGAACCGGATCTGTTCAAATGTACGGGTTCCCATGAATAGCCTCTACATTAGCACTTCTGCACAAGTAGGCCTATACAGGCTATTCACAGAGCTAATTTGGAGCTAGGGGAGGACATTTCTATTCAAACTTGCATTGCAGGCCTTTATGGGACATGCTGAAATGTATTTTATTTTATAGTGGATATATTCGTCAAATAGGCTATTGGATTAACCCTGCACACTAGTTTTTTTTATTTTTCTGCAACATAAATCGGTGTTTTTTGTGATAAAGACTATGATAGGCCTATATTTTGCATATAATTCTGTGTGCATAGACCTATGACTGTGCCTGTGCGTAAAGCCACGACCTTCTCATTTTTATAAGGCCTACAATCGCAAGGATTTACAGATATTGTTTTTTGACAATTTACCATTTTCACTGAGGTAACAGAGTAAAGCAGCAGCGCGAGGGATACAATACTAATGTGCGCAGGAAAGCGCACCTGTCTTCTTGAACAAGGCAGGTGAAGACGTTGTTTGGCATTGTCAATCTTTAGTGGTTCCGGTAGGCCTACTGTTTCCTCCACTCAAACTTGCTCTGAGTCAGTGAATGTTAAATTATGAGATACTAGACCCCATATACTGTATCAATCGATTCCTTTCCCAAACAATAAAGCTGTGTGTATGGGGACTGCTGGGGACCTTGTGACCCGCTTATCTAACCTTGCGCTGCTAGGCTGTACAGAGGCAAAAGTTTTTTTTGGCCTCGCTTAATAAGGACTGGGAAACGATCAATCATCAAAGCCCCATGGCTTGGGTTTCTTATTAAGTTACTATAGCCAGATCATTGCTGGCTGCTAAATACTCGATGAGGAATATGGATTCTGACACCATCTGAAAGGATAGCGAGTAAGCCAAAGGTCTAGGCTACTTACCTGATGTGAAATAATTATCCGCCATTTAAAAAACCGTCCTATCAAATGATCCCAGTGACCCAAAACCCCTAATCTGCAATTAGTAGGTATAATTATGTCCGCTGATGTTGCTAATGTGAATGGTATTTGGATGGCGACCATTACACATCAATAACGCCACTTCCCTGATTTAGCCTAAATGCTGAAAACAAGTATATCTGCAAAAACAAACACACATTAGATAAAGCCCACTATATAAAACATGCAATGAGACTAATCCGCTCTTGTTGGAGTAGCACAGGCCCTATAGCCTACTTATAACTCGCACTTACAAATATAGGCTACCTTTCATCACCATTATGCACAGATGAGCGACTGTAAGCATGGTTTAGCCTTATTGATATGTGAAATGTGTGATTTATGATCCTGTTTTTGACGACTTTAAAGACATATTTGCATTCACTGCTAGGCCTAGGCTATAGCGCTGCATGCCAACTTCCGCCCTAATTCACGTTGTTTGAAACTAGGTAATGCCAACTTCTGTCCTCTCATTCACGTTGCTTGACACTAGGTACACTGTAAAAAGTCATTAGTTCTGCTTACTCAATTATTTTGAGGAAGCCCATTGCCTAGAACCATTCGAGTAACCCAACTCAAAGTATTTCAGTGACATCAC